TCTCTCTCTCTCTCTCTCTCTCTCTCTCTCTCTCTCTCTCTCTCTCTCTCTCTCTCTCTCTCTCTCTCTCTCTCTCTCTCTCTCTCTCTGTCCCTCTCTGTCTCCCTCCCTCTCGCTCTCGCCTCCCTCTTCTCTCGCTCTCTCGAATCCTTGGTACCACTCTCTTCTTCTTCTCGGAGTCTCTCCTCGTCTTTCGTCACCGTCCCACGAGCCTCCCCCGCGACTTGCGGTACGACTTGCGCAGGGCGCGCATGCACGGTATTACACCTACCCTATCTCCGTGTGTCGACCTAGTGACACACAGCCGGTGATGGGATTTTCAGAGTGAACCGATCGAACATCCCCCCTCATCGTCATCATCACCGATATCATCATCATCATCACCATCACTACCATCATCATCTCTATCATCTAAACCCCTTAACGCTGAAAAAATACAATTACTAACTTTCTAGAGTAGTGGTAACACGTACGATGAAACCGGAGGCGATCGATGCTTATCTCGCGACGTGTGGCAAGAACCGATCGGCTCTCCCTGATCGCTCCATGACAGAACCTCGCGAAAAAATAATGAAACTCGGCAGAGTCGTACGGTCCTTGTGGCGCAAACCACATATTTCTCGGTCAATTCATCTCGTGCATATACCGTTTCGATAATGTAGAGATAATGCGGTGTTTGAAAAGGAATTTGGAAAAATGTACAAATTCCCGAGTCTCCAAGGGTCCCCGATTTTCTCAACACGAGAGCAATTAAGGTTTTCAAATGCGACCACCTTAAAAATAAAAGTGGAGGACACGAGCGCGGAGATAAGATCAAACTAATGGACCCTTGGCTAAGCATTAATTCACCCCCGCGTCATATCGCACATGTTATCGCGATCAAAAATATCCGATGAGTAAACTGTCGTGATTTAGAACACTTCGCAGAAATATACAAGGTGATTTGCTAACGTCATTAAGGACTTCTTTATTGAAACTGTGGACGAGAATTCTTGTCGGAAAAGTTGATTATTTATGTCGCAGCGCTTCGCTTTTCGGTGATAAGCAACCTTAATAACTTAATTCGTTTGAAATTGAATGAAGAACGGTGCCCAGCGTTGGTGTATTCGTATCTTTTAAAAATTGAGAATTCTTAATAATCAAGAGTAGCCTTTAAATATTCTTATCCGGGGGAATCTGCTTTCATAATTTTATGCGCCAGCTGCAAAAACGGCCAGTAAATGACATCGTGGTACCGTAATAACGGTTAGATTTACAATCGATAAACTGCCTCCGCCGGCAGGATGGGTTCACTTACCCTCCAGGAATGATAAGAATTTTCCTGTCGGCAACGCCGTCGCTAGTCGGAAATCATTTCAACGCCCGGCGTGCCTGGAAGATGCGTTTCGATCAGTTTCGAGATGTCCGCGAGAAATCGCAGCACCGTATCTCCGCTCGTTCCCAAATCGCAGGATCACTTCCTCCAAACTCTGCGAAATCGGATACTCGCCAAAAAAACGCCCTATTTATTGTCCCAACAAATATATATCGCCGAAAAGATAGGGAAATTAAACTCAATTAGGGAGGCATTTAGTATGTTAAGTCGCAGTAGACATTAATTTACACTATTTACGTCGTGAAGAGCGAATTAGAGATTAAACATCCAATTTCTTTAACGTAAAACACGACCTGTCTTTAGGAGCCGGGTCCTATTTAGATCCTGTTGTTGCTTCAGACTCTTATCCACATGAATTTGGCATTTGAACGTAAACGAAACCGTGTCGCCTAAACGACACCTAGTTGAAACGTGACGCGATGAGAAGCACACACCTAGAAACCTGCTAATTAACACGAGTTTAAATTTGATAGCCGCTAGAAGTGATTCGACGAGAAAGCTGACATACGAACATCTCGTTGATTGCAGATATAATCTAAACTGTCCCGAAATCGTCAAATGCGATTTGACTCTCTCCTGATGTCTCAAACGTTTTAGCACCATTATAATAATCAAAGATAGCGTGTACGCGCAAAGTATGAAGTGGCGCTTACTTTGATATATCTTTCCAATTTGAAATACCAGAATTTGAAAGGCGGAACGTCCATGTGGATAAAAAACTGAGTTTCTACCTGCCTAAGATTCAACAATCGTTCATCTGTCGCTTACAATTAAAAAGCTTTCGACTTTTCGTATTACGATCCTCATCTTCCTTTTTTTTTCGCATTACATTACAATCAAGCTGACAAAACTGCAGGATAACTAGTTTACAGGATTACAAATTTTTATCATAAATTTTAAAATTATTTTTCCATTCACATATATCAGCTATGTACAGACCGTGTAGGTGCGAAAAGTATTGAATCCATGAAAACGCGAGTTATTTAAACCGCAAGTCGGTCGCGCAAGTTGTAAGCACGCGAACACACGTGGCGTTAAAGGATTAAGCGCAAATGTACGGACGGCGTGATTTCGGGACTTGCGCGTCGCGACGCTTGTAAGCTCGCGTCTTAGGGGGGTTCGCGGCACGAAGATCCACGCGGCCGCCGCAATGGTCCGTCGCACCTCGTGGCGAGTGTTAAACTCATCGGGCATCGATTCAACGAACGTACCCTCGATTTCGGCGGAGTGGATCGCCAGCCGTCACCGAGAGGATGGCACCGAGCAAGCTGCCGCTGTGAGTAAAGTCGCTGTAGCGAGAAAATCCACGCGTAGTAGCAAGACACTTTGGTCATCGCACCTTAATTAAAATCATGAACAAGTACGAGAAATTAAAAAGAAATCATTTTGATTAATTTATGTTACGCGCAAAATATAGCGCAGACAAATTATAACATTTTCTTTAACACATTTGTCCTTGTAATAGCTACTTGGCCGTTTGCTTCGCGCTCCTTTGCAATTGCTGTCAACTGTGCAATTTATAATACAATTACACGAGGAAACGGACGAACGAGTGTAGATAAATAGAGCATTTCGCTCAGAGATAATTGTAACTGTATCAAAAATAAATATAAAAAAAATGTTAAAGAATAATTAGAATGTTCGCTGCTAAACTAAATTGCTATGTAATTTTCGGAATTTTGATTAAAATTGCTCTATTCTAAAAGTTCGAATAACTTACACAAAAAATTGTGCGTTCTTGGATATTCTATCTTGTGCAGGAATCATCGTCGATTTTTCTTCAGGCTTTATTTAATTTAACGCAATCCTTGTTTTATACATTGTGTATGCATTCGCGAACACTTTGCATACATCTTGAACTAATGAATAATTTCAAACGCCGTATATATCAAAGTTGCTTCTCTGACGCATGAAGCTCAAAGACGCATCTCAAGCGATTATTGGTGTACGCATAGATTGCGCACTTATAAGTGCTTCTAAATGTTTCAAGAACAGATTTCGAGGCGACTTCCAAAGCAGATGTAATTACACTTTGAATTTAATCGAGCGTATCTAGCGAGTTGTTATTCGTGCAAATACAAACGTTGAGAATCTCTCTAGAGAGACGCGTACTTTCGCGAGACACTCAATTCAAAGCTGCCGCGTCATCTCCCAAAACAATAATGAATCTGGAGACTTATCTTGCAACGAGATCTTTGTCCTTCGTAAATAATTACAGCGAAAAAAATTGCTAACTCGAAATACGACGAAATGAAAATGTATTCTCAAGCAGAAATAACGACGTTCGGTTTGTAGCAATGCAGATTAAGATGGTTTCGCAGGATTGGCCATCCACAGGTTCTCCATATGTATCATGTAGTATGTAAAGTGTACTCGCACACATACATAGATGTTTCATCGAAATGTAATACGTCACATGTATATTTTATAATTATATGTAATATGTTATCCGTGATATCATTAATATCAATAATATTTACGTTATTAATATTTTATTAATAATATATTGAGAAATGTAAAAATGACTGAAACAAACTTATTTAAATTTTTGCAAAATAATATAGCAAATGTCGATGGAACATTGCGATAATAAATGTTCCATCGATATTTGCTGTGTTATTTTGCAAACATGGAAATAAGTTTTAGTAATTTTGATATTTTTCTACAATAAAACACAATTAACAAACTCCAAATAAAGTGCGAAATATATTTCGAATGAACTGATCGCGTATTTCTACGGGTAAATTTACTACGGGTGAAAGCAAATGTTTCGATTCGCATATAGCGATGACAATGAAAGAGCGCAATTAAAGTTCTTTGTAAGTACAGTTTACATATCAACGCACTGTTAAAATAAAAGAAACCTTGCCGTTTGATAAAAATTACAAGACATACAATGGAAATTCATTTTTGGTAAATTGTCAAGTTTTTCATCTTCTTTTAAAATACAAAAATTTTGAAAATTTTACAAATATTTAATCGCGATTGCTTATAGAAATTTTCTTACGAGTCTTTCATTTTACATTAATTGTTCGCTAATAATTAACCACTGTAGGTCGAAGTATGATTCACGATTCGTTTCTGTGATGATTATTTGAGATTAATGATTATTTTGCTTGCAATTATATTTTATTATATTGATATTTCTTCTCATTAAAAATTCAATATTATTTTACACGAAACAGTACCGATATTATGTTCAACATCCAGCGGTTTGCCCCATCACTCGACGAAAACTTTATACGGCCCACTCGAAGGCCGCCTGAAACGGTCCGAAAATCGGGTACAAAATGCGCATACGATCTCGCGAGATTGTGATGTAACGGGCCGCAATGTTCTCTCGAAACAGTGAAGCGAACCCTCGTAGACCACGACTGCTGAATCGGCGAGTGACAAGAGACTCTCCTTCACTTTTCCTTCCCGCCGCGATACCGGCCTCACTTTATGCCTTATGCCGAACTCCAAACGATGCTCGCGTTTACCCCTTTTGCAACTTTATTACATTACAGTGCTTCGAGCTTCGTGACAAAAATTAAAACGAATGTGGAGGAGGGAGAGTGATGCAACATTTAGACAAGAAGTCATTGAACATGGCATACGCACCTGTGTGGAGGGAATTAAAAAAAACTGTGTTAAAATTAATACAGTTTATCGATCTTATACCAAATACAATATTCCGTTGACAATCAGACATATATTTAGGATCTCATACCTTATGGCATGTATTATTGTGCATTTATCGCTATGAAACTATGACGCGCGAATTTAAAAATTATCCTGTGCACAATTTGCAAAAGCTTTCGAAGGATATCGCGAGGGCAACAAGATCCTGTTGCACTTATTAGGGAGCGGATGTCTTCACGCGTGTGTCGCGAGCCGCGGTTTATCGGTAGCGGATAGTCCGATCCCTGCGCCAGAACAAAGTTCTGGCACGCGAACGATGCTATTTCGCGGTGGCTATGTCGGAAGGGCGACAGGGAATGTCGGCATAAGAGCTGAGAGAGAGCATAGCGTGTCCTAGATAACTCCTTGTAACATCTTTGTAACGTTAACGTCGTTATTATGTCACGTTACACCGCTCGAGGAGAGTCCCAAATACCGCGCGTATCTTTTTGAAACGCGTCGATTTTCGCCCGACATAATAGCGCAAAGTGTTTCTAAACACTTAATTAAAAGTGAATACGTAAATACAGGCCGTGTGCTCTGCGCGATTTGAGTGTACGTGATATTTTTCTTAATTAAAACATAAAATATAAAATAATTCTAAAACGTATATCATTAAATCAAATCGTCAATAAAACAGACAATATAAGTACAAATAAATGTACGTTATTTGGATAGCATTTAAGAAATTGGAATATTAAATTAAGTTGACGTAATTTGTTAAAAAAATATCGCGCGCATTGTACAATTACACATTGTTCCCGTTGCAACGAAAGCGTTATAAAAATTAAAAACTCACGATCTATTAACTGGTTCGCTTCAGGCTTAAAATGCGAGTGATCGATACGGATTGAAACGCCCTTCTTTTGGTAGGACAGAACATCAACTTTAAAACCAAATGGAACATCTACGGTGAACAATCGCATTCGCACATCCATAAAGTGCACTTATGTTCGTTAAATACTTAATGAATTTCAATTATCGACATTTAGGACCCATTCATAATGTTAAATATAATCTGACAGACATCGACAACTTGTAAAATACATCGCGTCCCACTTATAATTGTTCATGGTGTTATAATCTTTCTAATCTATTTATCGTCTAATCTGCTTATTTAATTATATTTTGATTTGCCGAATTTGAGTTATGACAAAAAAGATTCGCAATTTTCATGCAATCAATAGTCATATTTATAGTTTCAATTATAATTAACAATAAAATGCGCTTTAATTCCGGTGATTCCACTTAAGATTCTATTACGTATAGTTTATTGAGTTCGTTAATAATTTACATGGTATTTGAAGGCAATGATTGCCATGCTGTTGTTGCCAAAACTTCTTACTCCTGCCGCATTAAATAGCTCAGCAATAATTTCCGTTTGTCGTTGTAATAGATGAAGATAAAGGAAAGATATTATGTAAATTATGGAAGGAAAAAGAAAGGCAAAAAAAGATGAGCTAGTCATTGTAGAAATAAGAAATTAGAAGTAAGAAATAAGAAGGGAAAGAGATTAGGGGTAGAGATTAGAGAGAGTATGAATGAGAGTATGGATGAATGAGTGGTTAAGGAACTTTTGTAAACCAAGTCCCACTTTCTGGCTGTATGCTAAAGGTAATAAAGCATATATATATAATTCCGTTTGTTAGAAGCTCCAAAGTTATCGCGCTGTGTGTGAGTAATTTTATTATTAATTAGCAAGATGTTGAAGAACGCAAACATTCCGCAACAAACCATTTACTTTCAGACCGAAGTTAGATTAAATTTTCGTAAGAAAATACGAATTTCCGGTTTTGCAAGGAATTTATCATTACTTACGTCAGTCTACGTAAACAGAATATTGAAGTTGAGTGTATCATTCGCAATGGAGTAATGAATATACATAATACTTCTGTGTTATATGTGTAGTTTCGTCATTCTCGTGCCACTAACTGTGTACAAGTACCATTATTATGCATTCGAAACGAAAGCGGCATCGGCCCTCGCGACGCCGTCATCCGAATCGTTGACGATTGGCAGGAAGATGCCCAGAGCTACGGTGAACGATATTGTCTCGAAGAACATCACCATGGTCCTCGAGAATTTGTTAATGAATTACGAAAACAGTCAGCTGCCCACGCACGGTAAAGGTAAGAGAAATAAGGGTTAGCGGAGTGGAATTCTCAAACACAATTAACTTAGTAAATTCCTGCTATTCAGAAGCAATACGAAAAATAAATAATAATAAGTGGAACAGAACCGATATGAAATCTTAATTAGAAGACGCCACTTTCGGTCGGGCTAGATCCTGGTACCCTTAATAATAATAATAATATTCCAACTCGGTAAACTCGGTAAAGAAAGATTAACTTTTGTAAATGACATTAGAACACCGGATATAGCAAGGTTTGTAAACGCAATAAATAAGCGTACGCATGCGTTTAACATTAATGCGTCTGATATTAAGTTTATGAATGCAAGCTATATATCGCGCTGCGGTCACTCTACAATACTGAAACTATTTCATCGTGCATTACTATGTCCCCTATATCTGCGCTAATCGCAACATCATACAGCGGAAAATAATATTGGATATAATTGGATTCTAAAGAGCTGAGGAAGATCGTACGCGGTATCCGCATGGTCCAACCGCTTTAATTATCGATAACTAGGGCCCCAGGTTGTAATGCCGAATTAACGGCAATGATTTGTTACAATATTAAAATTGCATATTGAAAAGTTACGTGTTCAAGCACGTATCCAAATTAATTTCCTGAACAAATCCGACTGTCGCCTACAGCCGTCGCTATCTCGGCGTTCTTCTTTTCTTTTTAAAGAGCAATACATATATTCCGAACTCTTTCCGGAATGCTGATACTGACATTTGATAAATCACGGAGTCGCGATATATTTATGCCGCATTGTTTTTTTCAGGCGTGCCCACGGTGGTCAAAACCAATATTTTAATTAGAAGTATGGGTCCAGTGTCTGAGCTCGATATGGTGAGATTCAAAATTTCTCAGTAAAGAGGTGCGCCAGTAAATCTATACCTTTTCCTACCGTCCTCATTTATTTTTATGGAAATACGTGATTAGCATACATGAAGTGCTTCAAGTGTGTCAATTATTATAATACTAATCAATCATTTGCAATCACTGCAAGAACAATAATTGCTAGCCGATCTCGTCGCGTTTTAACATTCTTCCTTCATTAATTTTACTTTTATTTCCGATGCGAAGTTAATGTTAGGTAACGCTTATATTTAAGCCTGCTGCAACACTTAAAAGATATAATGTATTTATTTAAAATCAAAATTGAACGATAATCTCCCTTTTATCGGTCGTATTTACTGGTGCGCGTTGCTTGCTGGTAGACAGCCTCGATAAATTCGTGTCTCGCTTTCGAATCTGCTCGAAAGCTGGTTTGATGCAGTCTTAAAAATCCTTCCGCCAGGATTACTCGATGGACTGTTATTTCCGGCAATCGTGGCGCGACTCGCGTCTAAGCTTCCTGGGCCCGATCAAGTCCCTCAGCCTCAGCATCAAAATGCTCGAGAGGATTTGGCGTCCCGATACCTACTTCTACAACGGCAAGCATAGTTACGTGCACACGATCACTGTGCCGAACAAATTGCTAAGGATCTCCCAGGACGGTGATATATTGTACTCCATGAGGTTTGTTCGCGCGTGAATTTACGCACTGTGTGGCAAATCGAATCCGATTTTGCCTGCGAGATATTCTCTTCTTTTACACACGTCGTCGTCGTCGTTCACGGAAAAAAAACATACGCGATCGATAGATGGAGAAGTTTAATTCCGCATTTGATAATATATTCTGTCGAGAAATACTGTATGAAAATGTAGCGTTGTGTCTTTGTTCTCAAGATAATTATAAATGTAGATAAGATGTGAATTCTTCAGAGATCGCAGTTTTAATTAACAACGCAACTTTACTTGTAATATGAGACAAACAATAGGAAAGTAACAGAACTGAGAATAAATATTTTACAATATCATAATTAATTTTCACAGTTACAATTCTTTTTTATTGTCTCGTAATGCAGGCTCACTATTAAGGCCAAATGTCCCATGGAGCTGTGGAACTTCCCTATGGACCGACAATCTTGCCCGTTAATAATGGGAAGCTGTACGTATCGATTTTTTAACCACATAGTTGCACTTTGAAAAAATGAACGGCACGATATTAAAAATTAATTTTTGAAGCGAGAAAAATGCGAAGAGGCTTCAAATTATAAGACGAAATACCAGACAAAATATTAATACTCAATAATTTTATTCAGCAAAACAAGAAAATTTGTATAAATTTTTATTTTCAGTCTTTCGTTTTATACTGTTTTATATTGTACTGATTGGCTTATGTGCAATCGTAGCATATTCTTCTTTTCGCGATATGATATGAAATTTGCATCCTGTGTTACTTTTGCTTAGTTAGTAAATCGCGGCCTACAATAAGACTTTAAGACGTAAGATTTAAGAAATTGATCAATCATAGTCGAATGTGAGGAGAATAATCAACTGTGATCGGTCTCTCTCAATTTCTTAAACCTTAAACGTCTTAAAATCTCACTGTAGACACCACGTTATATTGCAGTCTACAAATCACTTGGGGATACAGGGTTTCGCTCATCATTTGAGACTCGAGCCGACAGAAACGTAATTCGTGAGGAAACCAGAACAAATAATACTTCATTCGTATGCCTTCGCACGCCACGTTATGCTGCTCCTCACGTGCATAACGTCCACCGATATCCTTCGACGAGTGTTCGCGATCGTCCACGCCGAAGTTACAATCGCAATAAATTCGATATTCCTTTACGTTTCGGCTTTTACGGTGCCCGGTGGTTCTGCCTCTCCCCATAACATCTGGCATCATGGCCCATGATGCGGCGTAATATCGAAATTTATTATCATAAGCGCGCTAGTACTCTCCTCGAGTCGGGATGCGTGATTTAAGATTAGTCATTGGTATTCGGGTGGCTACAGAAATATCCAGGTTGAACGTGCCATGAGGATACATCCGGTGAATGTACGTTGACGAATTTCCGGATGTTTAAGATCGATAGTCGAACGATAAATATAAGAAGGAGAGAAATATACCGGAGACGTGATTAATTGTTTAATTGTTCGCTTATTGGATTTCCACAGAAATTATAATGAAATATCCCTGATATCATTGATTGCGATAGACGCGAGTACCTTCGGCATCTTTTTCAAACGCTCTTAAATTTTATTATTTTGTCAGGTTAGTGTATTTCCTGATTATTCGAAATTAATATTACATTAGTAATTGAAGGATGATTTTTATTTCCATATTACGGCTGCGGTTTACTCGATGCTTCGAAGTATTCTTCTTCTTTTTCTCTTTTAATGAAGAAAGAAAAAGAACGGTTTCGAAGAATCTGTGGCATCAAGTGAACCGCAGCTTGTACTACATAATGCTGTTACGTCTCTCTATTTATTAGATGCGTACACATCGAGACAGCTGGTTTACGAATGGCAGGAAGGTCTGTCGGTGAACTTCGTGCCTGGAATGGCGCTGTCACAATTCGATTTAATGGGCTCGCCGTACAGAAATCTCACGTTCGTCCGTCGCGAGGGCGAGTTCTCGGTACTGCAAGTATCTTTCAACTTGCAACGCCACACCGGATACTTTCTCATACAGGTAAATGCGCGTAAATTGTAGCGCTCGTTGCAAATGATAAACAAAATATATTTTATCGATGCAACGTAACAATGGGATTTGCTTACATCGGCAGGTTTATGTGCCGTGCGTTTTGATAGTCGTGCTGAGCTGGGTATCTTTTTGGATCCATCGCGAGGCGACAAGCGATCGAGTGGGTTTAGGTACAATCAATTACCACAAGGTGTTTCTCTTATTCGCATTCTTTATTAATTTTCTCTCGTACAATTTATCTTTTGCCGTAAAGAAAATTTTACACTTGTTTAGCGCCCTTCGTCATTTTTCCTCCCTTTATGAGCCTCGAAAATCTTACACGTCCTAGGCTCTAGGGTGTATGTCTGCGGCGTCTAAATGGAAAAGCCGGCCCCCTGCGGATAACACTGTATCATAAATTTTCCAGGTATCACCACTGTCTTGACGCTATCGACGATAAGCCTCGATTCCAGAACGGATTTGCCGAAAGTTAGATACGCTACCGCTCTGGATTGGTTTCTACTAATGAGTTTTGGTTACTGCGTCGCCACCCTCTTGGAGTTCGCGGGTGTTCATTACTTCACGAAGGTGATGATTCTATACGTAATACGATATTTCCTCATTCGTTTAACCGCTTCCTTATATCTTAAGAAAAGATACCCCGAAAATATGATACAGGAAATGTTTTGGAAAGCCAATTACAACCTTTCAGTATCTCTAAGTATGGTTTTTTTTGCAATATATTTTCGACGTACGCAAATGCTAGAGGACATAGTTCCCTTATGTCCACACATATCAATTTAAAAAAAATTACATTTACATATGCCTCGGTGGTTGAATTGGTGAGACACCCGCCTAGAGTGTAGGGAGGTCCAGGTTCAAACCCTGGCTGAGGTAATATTTTTCGCAATAAATTTTCGGTATTATTAAAGATGCCAGGTATGATCAAGAAAACACTCACGTTGTTAATTATCGCTGGCGACATTGCAGAATCCTGATTAGTTGATTTACAAAAAGATTGTTCAAATACTATCCAAAATTATTTTTGTATCGACGCAATTTGAATTGCCTACATGGAAAAAAGAATTTAATCAAATTTAAGTCAATATCTAATTAATTTTCAGGTTGGCAGCGGCGAGATTCCGTTGGATGACGAAGACTGGGAAGAATGGAAGGGTATCACGAGCGAGGAGTTCGAGGACACATTTCACACGAAGATTTCTTGCAGCCCTCAGGCTGTTCATCCGGAGATTATCGATGCGAGTACCAGAAAGCGCGGTTCCCTCATGTCCGCACTGTACAGTGTTAGTGTGATATTTTAATAAAAATTGCTTTCCTAAAGCCTTGTGTCCACAATCCAATAACTGTGTCCAAGTTCCTAATCAACCTGCATCTTTTACGGAAAAGCGAAAGAAATCCTAGAACTTGGACACAGTTCTTGGATCGTGAAGTCTGCATCTTTAGGGCTGGGAGACTCTGATACTGAGTTGCGGTAGTCCTTTAATACCCGTGTCCTTATTTGGGGGGGGGGCGAGGAGGGGGAAAGGGCCGGAGGGAGAAGAGGGGGGAGTCAGCCAATCGGGGCGTTGTAGACTGATCAATGAAATATAATTAAATATAACGCAAGAGAGCTCAGTATCAGAGCCTCCCAGCCCTGATGATGCAGACTGCAACGCCTGCGAAACGTCGGCACCACATTGCAAACGGACGCGGCAACCATCCGGAAGCCATTACGACTGAATTTCTCCTAGAATTTATTTTATGAAATATCAATTACGTGTGAATTATCAGTTGCTAATTCAAGTTTCACCGCCGACAGGACTCATACGAACGAGATTCCTGCCACTCCATCACGGTCGCCGTTTCGTCGAAGCCGTCGACGATGGAGAGACACACGCAAACTGAGCTTATTTTACCGATATGGCGGCAGTTTCTCTATTGCTTAGCAGGAGATGATGCTTTCAGGTATATTACGTATGCGTTAACAAGAAAAACGAATTTAACAAAGCACGCGATATCGCTACATCTCCTATTCGATTCTTATTGTGTCAATTTAAAAGAAACTTGAATTAATATCTTCATAATTTTGTTTATTATTACATAGCATTTCTATTGTTTTTAAATTATAAACCAGCAAAAGTGTCGTGAAAATTAAAAAATATTTTATACATATTATAGCTTATAATATACTTATTTTATTTATTATTGTTTCATTAATAGCTACACTTGAGAAATGCGCAATAATTAATATCTAAAATTGTCAGGCGTCGTCGGCAACGGGAAGCGGCTAGCAACTATCGAAAATGCGGCGATCGTATGTCGAGGAGGCACATAAACAGTGTGTCTTACATCGACAGGGTGGCGCGGATAGTCTTCCCCGCGTCTTTCGGTCTACTCAACGTCTGCTATTGGGTAGTCTACGTCACCTATCAAGAGGAATTTAAGTGGCAGGATCCGCCGATCGGGTCGATAATGCCGATCTCCCATTAACGAAATATCAGTAATGACAATAAAGCAAACGTATAATGTATTACGAAGCGGGAGAGACAGGAGGGCACTTCTTTCCCGAAATTTAATTATCAGTTAATTTTGAAGTAAGTTAACAATACATACTTACACTCGTCATTTTTTATTTAACCCTTTGAAGCATACTTTTTTTATTGAACCATTTTTTGTGAAACTTTGTATACAAGGGTTTTTTTGGGGATTTTTATAATTCAAAATGGCGGATTCAAGATGGCGGAATTCAAAACTGAAAGAATAACATCATTCAACTGTCATTCAACTGTGCTAAGAAATTATTTAGGACCCATGGAATCTAAATTCCAGTTGAAAATTCTTATAGAATATAAAAAATAGCGCAAAATTTGCCGATTTCAGATTTTTATTTATTAAGTGTTATTTTCTAATTGTACACCTGATCCGTATAGATACACAGTTTTGAATGAAATCATCGAATTCGTAATCAGCGGCCTAAAAAGTCCTTAAATACCGTAATCAAACGGAAATGCTGAAAAACTTGAAAACTTAAAAAATGCACTTTGCATCCGTCATTTTGGGATGACCATTTTGAATTTTGAAAATCAGACTTCAGATCCGTAACGAGCGAAAACCCCTTTGTACAAAATTTTCAAGAAATAATCTTAAAAAACTTGGTCAATAATGAATTTTTCCGAAAACATTGCTGTTTTTTTTCATATTTATTTATAAAACTTTTACAATAAATATTAAAGACTACTCAACTTTTTTTTATATTCTTTTATTATTAAGATACGCAAAAATGCAAAAAATCCGACCTAAATGCGTCAACTAGAAATTAAATGGCCAAGAAGTTAAGAAGTGAGGTGGTAACGCGGGTTAAGGCCCAAACGCAATGCCAGGCAACAGGCAATAGGAACAGTGAATAGAATTTCTGACGCGTTGGATTGGTTGGAAGAAAATTTCCGACGAATCGAATGCGTCAAAAATTCTATTCCATATTCCTATTGCCTGTTGCCTGACATTGTGTGATAGGCTTTACCAACATGCTTCAAAGGGATAAAATTACTTATACATATACGTAATTTGATGTTAAAGTTCTCGAAATTGAACACGTGTTTGCGAAATGCCCTGTATATACCTATGTCTAATTTACGCTTCGTCTTCTACTTCATACTCGAAGTCCCAGCCATCGTCAGATAATTACACGAATTTATTAAAGATTAAATGTATTAAACAAATAAATTTAACAAATAAAATTCATAAGGCTCTGACGTGAAATCATGAAAACGAAGTAATAAAGGATATAAAGCCAAGACAGGATGTTAGTGTTTAAATAATTTAAATTTTTTAATTTATTGCGAAAAATTTACCTCAGCCACCCAATAAAAAATGATTCGTCGAAACGATGTCGAATCGACATCGACATTGACGTCTATTCGACATCAATTTGACGGTGTCAATGTCGATTCGACATCGTTTCGACATCGATCGACGAGACGTTTCTCGCTGGACAAGGTTCGAACCTGGACTTTCCCCTCACTCGGGCGTCTCACCAATTCGATCACCGAGGCATGTGGTAATATTTATCGCAATAAACAGTCTGAAGTTATTTCACGAAAGTCATGAAATTTAATATTTATATTTGTCATTTAATGTTTAATAAATATATAAACTGCCAAAATTTCAACAGTGATATGGGAAAAGAAATTTTGCAACAATATATAATATTATGGTGTCGTAAATATGTAACATTTATGTATTGCGTAATAATAATAAATTTAAATACAGACATACCCATACAGCACCAAAGCTTTCAGAAACGTTTCAGAAAACATTGTTGCATTGTTGCAATGTTTCTGAAATGTTTCTGAAAGCTTTGGTGCTGTATGGGTAGCATCTGTATGATAATCAACCATAAATTTAATATCGCAACATAAATTTGTTCCTACATCTATGTCGATCAAAATGTCAATTTATCTCATTATCCTCAATTATTGATTATTTCTAATTATCACGATATCTTTCGATTCTCTTTCCGTTATCTCAATTAGTTGTCTCAACGAACTCATTTGAAAATTTATTGACAACTTGCTATTTAGAAAATTGCTTACGACGAACGAGAAGAAGTAATTTGTCGAGAAATAATTTATCGAAAACTCTTTAATATTGTCAGAAAAAGCAGTTTGATAAACGCTTAAGTTTACGTAATTCTTTCATATAATTGGTTCTTGCTTCTAGTTTCCTGTTGGGTCTAACAATACGTGTAGAAACCAATCGTAGTTGCGGACTCGTAAGCGCTTTTACCAACCTACTTTTCCGCCATCAACAGCAGTTGAACACCATTCGTCGAGCGGCTGAAAAACGATTGGTTCTTGCTTTTAGACCCAGCGTTCCGGCCAAATCTTATTCGAAGCGTTCGGTGGCACAAGTTGTTGAGTCACCGACGTACAAATACTCGCAGCTAATTTGCTGGTGGGAAACCAATCGTGGCCGATTGCCACTCGGCAATTGTATACTTGTTGTTTCAGTTGAACTCGATCCGCTGCCATCTTACGATATAATCCGCTGTGAGTCTAGTTTTGTAGAAGTTTCCTTACAGATTCGATGTCGTGGTGCCACGCGAACGAGTCTTTCTTAGGAAAATCAGGTTTGGCTTTAAAGAAAAAATTTTAAAAAAAAGACGAAAACTGCTTCGCCATTTTATTTTATTGTAGAGCTCATGACCCCGTACTTTCGTGCAGACATGACGCGTATTTCCTGTGGCGTCTCACAATTACACCGGCTTGCAACGTGGTTGAGCGTGTAGCCTCGACCTAATAGTACACTTCGTACGTCTGATGCCGTACAAAATGAACCAGAAAAGTTGCAATGTACTCGGAGCAATATCGAGTTTCAACGTGCGAATTAGAATGTCTTCTCCCTTCTGCCATTGCCGTGCCTAGGATATCTTTGTAAAAAAAATATTCCCCAGTGAACATAACGACAACAAAAAGCTCGTCACGTACTCTTGACTATCATTTGTCTACTAAGCAGACGAGATGCCCTCTTGCCTGTGTGTTGTAGCTGGGAAAAAAATTGGAAACTGTCGACTCCTCTTTAGGGACGGAGACGAAAATTTAGTTGCTCTTTGCATTTCACCATGTGATTCATTCTATGAGTGAACGTGGATTATTTCCATTTAAAGAGGCTTTATTGTTTGGAGGAGTTGCATGGAGATTCTAAAAGTTTGCCGATTGTTTTGTTTATGTAATTAGCAACGTGCATCTCTCTACGCCATGCCTGCCACTCTTGTTAGTTTACAAAGACTACAGTTACTGCAACACATTATGATTACAGGTTAGTTGTCGATTGGAATGAAGAAAGTGTCAAGGTACATCCAGAAAATGCATTTAAAAACTTTCTCACTGGGCCGGCAACGACGATGATACTACATTGTGTGATCTAGCGAGATTCCTGAAAAGTAAGATTAATCTTAAAGTTCTACCGCCTTGGCACTTTCGTGTAGCATTTACATGATTCGTCGTCATCGTAACCGGCTCTACAGCCCCAAGTCGGCCCTGGCCTTCACAACAGATTGCCTCCATCCGAGGCTCATTGTGTGTGTGTACTCGGATCTTCTCGTTCATTTGTCTACTAAGCAGCGCACATTTCTTCTGCGCCACGCTCGCCCTCCAATTGTTCGGCTCTGCGTAGCACGGCAAAGAATAAAATCTATAAGCAATTAATTCTGTGACGACAAAATTTGTTTATGCCAAAGAAATTAGGCAGCATATGGCTGTTTCAAAGTTAACATACAAATCTATCCCTTCTAGAAAAAGTTGTAATTATTCAAACGTGGAGCAAAGTATGCACATTATAGTATTATATTCTTTGTTGCAGGATCAAAGAATAGCGTTAAAGTCAGGAGATTTTAAAGAAGTTCATTGGCGATAATCGAAAAATGGACGAAACGCACGAGGAACCGGACGAAAACATTATCGACATCAATATGATAAAAAGCGAAGAAAGAAGCCCCGAAAATGTACCTCTCAACTTTGTGGCAGTTTCTAGTATCACCAATAGTACACCGACACGCCAACAGACAGCCCGTAAGAGACTGCAAATTAACGCCGGTGGTACCGCGCAGGAATCCGCATTACTTTTGAAGAGGAAACGTTTTCGTCCGATTCAGCCGAAACCAGAATCTAGTTGTTTGGTACATAATTTTTCGAAACCAAAGCTTACAACGCTCAAACTGCCTACAATGAGTAATTTGCAACCCATACGACCTAGAATCTCGGTGCCAAGGCAAAAATTCAAACTGCCTATAATAAACGCTTTGGAACCAAATACCGTTTTGGTATCAGGCAGTGGTATGTTGATTAAGAAAAACATTACACCTTCAAACGTACCAAAAGAGATGAAAAATTACGTTAGGTCAAGCAGTAGTAATAATATAATAGTAAACAGTAATATTGATGAAAGTAACGTTAATAATAGCAATAAAGTTAATAAAAAAATTAAGATTCTCAATTTCTATCATTGTGATACCAGCAACAATAGTGGTAACGATAATATTGTAAATCCGACAACTGAAGAGAAAATTGATAAAACTGTGAGAATTCAAAATTCAAACAGCAAAGCGAATAATAAGTCTAACAACATTAATAGTAATAACACTAATAATAGTAGTAATAGTAGTAATAGGGAATGCAGTAAAAATTTGTGTAGTATTGAGGTAAAATCCCAATCAAGTAAGAATAATATTGAGTCATTTTTTGAGAGTATGGCAAAGACTGTGTCGAATTTACCTAACGAGATACAAGAGGACATTAAAACGCTGGTCACTCAAATTGTTACCGATAGAGTGAAACAATACTATAAAGAGAAGATAAAATTGATGATGGAAGATTAAATTTCAAGAACTGACAATCTGTTATTGTAAAATTAGACCAAACTCCAATTTCTTTTATGATGCAAATCAATAATGCAAATTTTGCAAGATGCAAGGTATAATTAATACCTTTGCTGAGTAAAATTTTAAACAATAAATTTAGAGCTCATAATTTTGGAACACATTTGTTCTAACTAGAGGACAGATATATTTAAGTTTCTAATTTTACAACTACTCAATGTATTGGTTTAATTCCCAAGAACATAGTGTTAATCTCGATTTTTTATGAAGATATTTCTCATAATTTCAGGTTGGTACATTTATAAAAAATAAACTTATTAAATATGGAGTTTTTAAGATCATAATACGTAAAATTTATTTATTTCCTTTAATAAGAAATAAATATATCAGGAATAGAAACACTCGTGCTAAATTAAGATAAATAATAGTCCACGGATAATTTTCTGCATATTTTCTATGTGCTCGTTTATTTTGTAATGTTGACTATAATTTGCATTATGAGCATTCGACGTCACATATATGTGTCGAACAATTTTTTTACGCAATATTGATGAAAAAATAAGAAATACAAGTTTATTACAGTCATTTGTGTAATCGACATGTTAGGTCATATAATTCATTATAATTTTACTTTTTAGACACGCCGTATAGAAAATAGAACAATAGATATAAATAAAAATAAATATATATTTTGAAAGTAGCATATATATACTTTTGATAAAAGGTGCTATAACGATCAAATGCATAGTATAATATTGTATATAAATGCCGACAATCGTGAAATTAATCTGAAAACTATTTACATAGCAAATATTGTACTTGTTTCTTTTGAAACTTCGAATTATGTGATTTAATCAATTAATCCACTATATTACTGAATTATACGCTATGTACACATAAATTGGAATACTAATGATTATTTGTTAATTTGCTTTATTGGAAATGTGAAAATATAATACGAATGAAAAGCTCATCAGTTTCTTTATAAAGTATAACTATTACAAAAATAAAAAATATATACGATTATTTTTATACTTAAGAAAACTAACACAAATAAATAACCATATTTTCAACCCAAATAAATAGTAAACCATGGTTTGCAATCGTACAAATACTTTGTATCGAGAAAACATGCTGATATCTGCATTTTTGCATGAAACAATTAAAAAATATATGCCTTAAACATAAATGTTAAAATAAAAAAGGAATGCTCCTTTCATAGCCTTGAACTTCCCTGAACTTTTTTACGAAAAACTCATTAATATGTAGCTCATTAATAGTTTTATTTGTGAAAGCGAATGAGGCAATAAAAACTTAATTCCTTCTTCGTGAAAATAAACTACAGAATGTGAGCGGTAGATCGAAAGTATTTGCATCTAAGAGTAAAGTATTAAACTGAACTGAATATCTTATTTAAGCCACAAACACGTTGGATGAGTACAATAGCGTGACATAAATGTAAAAATTTAATAAAATAACTGGTGCTTCTCCTTTCATTTCAACAAACACTAAATAACAATACAAAATTACGAAGAAAAATATTCCAAAATGACATACTAAAGATAACAATTACACCAGAACTAATTATTCATTTAAATCGAGTTGTGCATTTTTTCTCTTATGTTTATTACAGATATATTGTGACAGCGCATTAAAGATATTTTTATTATTTATGTATAATGTATGTAATACAAACTATCAATCCCAATATGTCACGACGTCTATCTAAATAACTAATGGCTCGTGCACATACAATATTTTATATGTAAATTGCGGTATGCAATACTGAAGTATCAAAGCGTGACGCCACATTTTTCCATTTTTATTATCTCTGGTATTGTTATACGGTGTACAAGGTATGTTTTGAATCTAGTGATTACGAATGCTACGCCTACCTAAAATGGATTTCAGAATGCATCGGTATTTACTTTATTCTCACCGTTTTATTGCACAGTAAAAATTATTATATAAAAAAACATATATAACGTGTGAAATCGCAATATAAAATATCAACCAGTGATATAATTTCGTAAACTTTTTCACTTTCCTAAACGCATTTGTGCTCTTCTAACGAGTCTGTGTCTTTCTTACCGAAGCTCACTTTTTTAAAACGTAAAATGCGAAAGCATTGCATCTGTATAAGTGAGATGAGTCGGAGATAAGCGATTTAAGGATAAAAATACTCGAAATTGCCAAAAAGCAACGTGTACGAACAATTAAAAAACGTTGACATCGTAAAGCTTTTCGTTACTACTGTCTCTCAAAATTTGTAGCTCATGCTAGTTTTTTCTTCTTTTTTTTCAAATATGTTCATAAGGAAATGCAATAACAATAAAGATAAAAGACACTAAGGGCGCATAAGCCTCGTCTGCTTTTCCACAATAGACGCAAAAGCATTATATGAGAGTTGTTCACTCTTCCTCTTTCTCGGCCTTCTCGACGTCTTGCTTCTCCTCAGCCTCCACGATATCACCACCCTCGAATTTCGGACCCGGTGCTTCGTCGCCTTCCAGAACAATTTCCTCTGGATCGGGCGCGCGCGGCAGAAAGTCTTCATCTGGATACATAGACTTAAAAATGTTCTTGGCCTGGAATAAAAGAAACAAATATTTTAAAAGATTATCTAGTGCAATTTAGAACCATTTATTTAACGTAAAGTACCATTTATTATACTAAAGCAACTTTGAAGAAGAAACTTGTACTGTTTTGCAGTATATCCGTATGAAAAATAATACAAGGTATTTGTTGAAATTATATTTTATACAATTACTACATTATATTACTGTTATCTGATACTACATCTGATCTGATAATACATACCTGATTTACAGCAAAGTCGAAATCAAGCTCAAGATCCGGTCCAGAACACAAATGTATGTTACTTGGCGCAGAATCGCTTAGTTTAATGTCGCTCGCGGGTAAATTCAGATACAGAGACCACAATACCTGGGGTATCGGATACTCAGTTTCTCCCTTCTCTCGTCGATCGTCCTAGTGTAATTATTTAATTTGAAATATCACGTTTACTTTCACACACAATTTTAATATCTTCAATATTTTACCTGCTAAAATGTAATTCTAAATTATTGATAATTTTTTTAATAGATATTTTACCTGAAGATGTCGTTTATCAGGAGAGACTGTTTGGGTATGAGAATCAGAAGAACTACGTAGAACATTGGGGTCAAGCGGTTTTGCTCTCAGGAACTTATTCACGACATACGCCAGATCCTCCTTTGCGTTCTTAGAACGTTTGCATGTCATATGAACTATGACTAAAGAAAGAGAAGAAAGGATGTGTACGATGCAGTGCAGACTAATCTTGAAGTACGTACATTCACGTTAATGTTATTATACGTACACAATCCTTGAGGGCAAGCGTTAGTAGATGGTCCCAATTCGATTAGAGTAACGGCTTCCTGGTCTGGTTTTTCCGGCGGATAGTACAAAAGAGTTAGACTTTCTTTCTCACCTTGCATAATTGACCTGTAGAGGCGAAAAATATATTACGTATATATTATATGTGTTTTTAACCGTAAGGAATAAAGAAAAAAAAGTACCTGTCAGTAATGAAAATCCCGCGCGAGATTTGATTTTCTCCCTCAGAGGCTACGATTTCTGGCGGCAAGTGTCCCTGCCCTACGACTAAGTGCTCCAAAGCCAGTCTCTGTCTCCCACTGATAATGGCCTTGCATTTATCCTCGTTAACTACAACGCCGTCTAATTGTCTCTTTAAGCAATAAATTCCGCCAAAGACCGCGCACAGTCTAAAAGCATGGAAAATGTTATTTTCTATGCAACCGTAAAATGGGACAAATGTTTTTTGCCGTGTTGCCAGAGACACACCTGCAGAAACATTGAGGCAGTTCTCCGCTCCCGTACATAGGCCATAAGAAAGGCGTATTTCCATAACGTCCAAGACTATTGAGAAAATGCTTCGTACGATCGACGCCGTCTCTACATGACGTTTTGTTCGTCGCCATTGCAATAGCTTGCATAACATAATGCTGCACTATAGGCGTAAGATTTTTCGTATTAAGATATTCTAAGAACGTTTTATCACGGAAACCTAGAGACGAAAAGGGGACACGTTATTGTCGAGTCAGAAGTTAAATAATTAAGAAAGTACGTAAGGCGTTTTTACGTACGATACGCACCATCAAACTCTGGACTATCGGCGCCTTGTTCCATGCAGGATGTCAGAAGCTGCATCAGCATTCTCTTCTCGACCACGCTAACCGTTTTGTTAGCGAACACATCGGCGCGAGAGCAAGGGACCTGGGTAAGTTTACCGTCCATAAAAGTGGCGACCCTAGAGACCGCGCGGAATTCGGCATAACGCGCAATGTTGCTAGAAATCAACAGTTCTACTAATTCACCACGGGCGAATAACAGCTGCAATAAGAAATCATGCATCACGTGTATGTGCACATTGAGAATTAACGCGCGTATACGCAAAAATTTGCAATTTTACTTTAGGCGCCAGATCGATATTAAATCTTCTGTACTCCTTCTTGATACGGTCTATGCTCCATTGTTTCACGTTCTCCTTTTTCTCCGCCTTGTCCTGATCGGCCTTCTCCGCACCCTCGACCGCGCCGCTGTCCCCGGAACCCTCGGTCTGGGTGTCCTTCGAAGAAACGTCAGGTAGATCCGCATCGCTGCGTGAAAAAGGAAACTAGTCAGAATATACCGTCGATATCGTCTGAAATCGTTAAGTGGTCAATTATATGCAGATCGCTGCTTACTTGGAAATGTACCAGATCTCCCCGATGTTCTCGACTGTGGAGTACTGGTCGCTAGCCTTCAAAAATTTCTCGCCCGCCTTCAGATTGACATTCGTATTCCTAGTGTTACTTTTAACAGTTTTCAAATCTTCTATCCACTTTTGCAAGCCATCGAAATTAAATGTAGCCCACAGCCCTCCGTAGTATTCGTTGCTAGGTAAAATAAATAACAATTCTGCTTAATACGACGCACGAATGTTGCTTTGATTACAATTGGCTTATCATATCGCATCAGAAAGTGGAAGGAAATCCTTTTATCTCCAATAAGATTGTGTGATAAAAAGTCGACCAATATATTACTTTACTCTTATTTTTCCTTGAGTGATTAAATAAAATTATCTTTTGCGTGATTATCCTCTATACTCTGCAGAAAATATTTAAGAATCACTCGTATGTTTAAAACCTGATATACAAACATATTTATTAACTACAAAATAGAACGTTTCTAGACCCAGAGAGCACATTGTAGATTAGGTTTAACACATACGATTGTACATTGACAAGCACTGGTCTTATAATAGAATGACGCAAAGTGATTTTCAGAGTGAACGCCTGGATAATGAGAATTCAATAATCTTTAAAAACGAAATCAAACAAAATGAATATATTTATTAATGAATTTGCTATAAATGTAAAAACCAGAGCAATTACAATTTTTAGTCGTTCGTATATGACTTGTTTATATGAAACACGAAATCATTTTGGACAACGAACATTCAGTTATGTAATTCTTGGATGGAGACTTTAGTAAACGTAATTTGGTTGTAGCTTTGTAAAAACGGGAGACTTGTGAGTTGCCCATCGGATCCGTCCTGGAGACTAGAATGTTTACCAAAGTCTCCAGGATGGAAGCTATACTCGGATCCGAGGAGGCGATTAAACTATTCAGAAGCCCCGGCGGTCTTCTATACCTTTCTAATAAACTGGGCAATTATGAAAGAATCCTCCGAGAAGAATTTGGTATACAAAGTCAAAGGCTCTTTAGCGGGATAGCGATCTTTCTGGCGCCTCTGATAGGACTAGTAACTCGTCATGATGTGAGATTTCCCTTTTTCTTTATGTTAGTCTGGTATGGGTAGCCTTAGACCGTACTGTCTCGCAATCTCTCTTTAGACTTCTGTGTAAAGCAAAATGCTAGCGGAAAGGATAAACAACGTAACCAACACCATGGTCACAACTTTTCCAAGAGAGAGAGAGAGAGAGAGAGAAAGAGAGAGGGGGGGAGAGAGAGAGAGAGAGAGAGAGAGAGAGAGAGAGAACTGTAATTTATAACTCCTTTAAAAGATTAAGGAGAATATTAAGTATTAACAACCAATCGCCTCTGTAATCTCGTATGTCAAACGTGTCCGATTAATGCGATATGTGATTGACAGGTGACAGTTCGTCGGTCCACGGAGTAAAACACGAGGAAGTGGCACGCGTCGGACGTTCGGTTACCTGTCCAGATGCAGGACCCTCTTGCCGATCCGGCTTGCCGCCGCGGCGACGATGGACTCGGTCATGCCTGTCGGAAATCATGACAGGGTTATCGCGTGGGGATTACCGGCGAAAAGAAAGAAGAAACGGCCCTTTGGCGAACGCGGGACCGTCTCCCCCGTTGTGATAAAAATCAATACCCGTTCCTACGACGACCACATCGTACTCGGTCGGCAGATCGTCCTCCATGGTTGGTCCTCTCCCTCGGCGATTGGTGCTGATCGGGTTGCGACGATCGGTGCGCGAGTCCGGCGAGGAAATTATAAAAATCGACGATATTCCGGACGCGGGCCGGATCAATTCATCTTCCTCGGCGACCGACACCGACGAGATTTTCGCGCGAGAGAAACGACCCCGCCCCGCACGCGACCTTCACACGCAGCTCTCGCGCACGCACGGACCCGGTGCAACCCTTCTTTTTTTTTTTCGCGGACAGAGGGTTTGACAGGACGAACGGTGCCGGACAGAGCCGGAGCGGCCAGACGAGCGAGCGGATATGAGCGACGAGAGAGAAGAAGAGGGAAAGAGAGATCGTTAATCTGACGTCTCGCTCGTCGCGAGCGTCGCGCCACGTCGCGCTCTGCTTTTCGCGGTGCGAAATGCGAAACGGAGAAGAATGCCCGTTTCCATAAGTGCGATTTGAAGGGTCCGTACGTGGAGAATGTATAGCACCTTGTCGTTAAGAACGGCACTCTAGCTATTGTATTGGCTCTATGGTTTACGTCGCGCGTCACGTCGTTAACCTCACTAATTTTCTTCCGAGAAACCAGTCCTCGAACTTGTATGTGATCACTTGCCGTACTTGGGTACATACCTTTGTCATTCTGCAAATTTAATGAATATTACATTAATCTTTATTAAAGCGCAATTTCAAATGAAGCACAACTAGGTGCAGATATTTGGAAAGGATGGTGAACGATTTGAAACTGGAGTGCTCCTTTTCCTCTTGGTACCCGACGTTCAAGAAAGATTCTCTGGAGGCCAGGATTCTCCGCATCCCCGACGAGGTCCTCAAGTATTTGGAGCACGACACGTTTATATTGCCGCTCGAGGCAACGGGATCTTTCCCGGACAGCTCGGAATGGGCTGACGGCTCGCCGGTGACACGCGAAGAAGAGGTATCTATTATTCTTTATTCGGGCAAAGACAGTTACCAGACGATAAAACCCAAACTGCCAGATAGCAGCTTATACGTACAACTAATTATATCTATAGCGATTTTTATAAATCTTTTGGATTTCAGGAGACGGATTGCCAACCGACATTCCCTGAATTCAGTCGACAGATACAGGAAATATTAGACGAGTACGATGCGGTATTCGTCAAGACAAACTGGAGTACGCCTGCGGTAAATTATTGTCCACTGTGCATCTCTATTTCGCAATTGAATCCGTCATTTTAGAAAAAAAAACGTCTCTTCCAAACTCACTTTTTCAAGAAACAAGCGTGTCTACGTGAAAAGAACACCATGTGTACTAAAAATGGAGAGTTACCTTTCTGTAACGAGCGATTCATTTCGTGGATAAATTTTCTATCAAATGAATATGATGCAACGCTATAATTGTATAATTTATGTCTTTAAGATGAAGATAAAATTATAATTAACAATTGTAATCGTCTTGCAGGATGCCATGTGGGTTGCGCCGACAAAGACTCTGAAATGCAATACGCTAGAAGAGGTGTACCTGCTGCTGAAAAGTTCCGACAGGATTGCCAAAGACCTAAACGTCGTGAAATCTATGGGGGATTCTGAGAATCCTCTGCCGTTCTGCCTGGTGCTGAAGCAATGGCGGGATATTAATCCGTGCGCAGAATTTCGCTGTTTCGTCGTGGATAATAAGCTCACTGGTAATTCATCGACTTGGTTCTCACGACTGTTAAGTTTGTCTCGGTGTTGACTGCTCTCGCGTCTCTTTCTCTGTGTGCTTTTACAAAGTCAACTTCCGCGGTAACAAATTATATTTTACGCAGCTATAAGTCAGAGGGATATATCGCAGTACCACAGTTCCAACGAGTCGGAAAAGTATGACATACAGACGGACATCAAGAGCTTGTTTTCAGAGCGCATCAGAGGCAGATTTCCGTTGCGCAACTGTAAGAGCGCCGTAACCAAGTATCGTAAGTAACGACAATCGTATTCTTGTAACTCATTCGAGTTTATTTGCCGCAGACTCGTTCGACGTTGTACGACGTAAGAAAGATAAGGTGAAGATAATAGATTTCGGTGCGTTGGACGCGGCGTCTACGGAGGGAACGCTTTTCACGTACGAGGAGTTGCAATGCCGTATCGAGAACACGCCGGAGTTCCGTTTCATCGGGGAGGAAATAGGTATCCAGCCCAAGCCCCCTGTGCAGTTTTGTATTCCGCAAGAGATCAGCGAGTTCTTTCAGTCGAGGGAAAACGTCACGTTGCTGGACATTATTCAAAGGGTATGTCTTCCGGTCACTAAGGAAATACGCTTGCAAAATTCGCTAACTTGTTTCCGGCGCGTCGTCCTCCCCAAGCGACCGAAGTTTTGCCTTTGTTACAGGAGGTGGAAAATCAGCGGAGAGAGCACGAGAAAGAAAATGCTAACGTTTCAGAAAGTACTTGATGTATATACAACGTATAATAAACATTTTCCTTATATACGAACATCAGCTGTAACTCACATGTACAAGGGATACAAAACTTAAGAGAGGGGATTATATAAGTTAATGTTACATCTCGTCTCCCCCGGAGGGAAAGTCTAATATCTAATAATAAGTACATGCGCTAATAAATATACGCGCGATTACACAACGAACGGATTCTACTTGTCTTTTTAAATTTAATATAATACATTTCAGCCCGTTTAAATCCTACGTTTTGAGATCATTCGATTACATCGACGCTAAGAGAAATATAATCGAACTTGTTCAAGTAACTCGCTCTTTTCGTAAGTTGCCGAATTCCGGTTTCTTTCTGCATTTATTCCGATACGATACAAGAAATTCTGAATTGCCTGCATGCAACACAAACTATTTTCCTGATCCGGTCAATAGAGTTAAAAATTAGACAATTTTAGTTGCCCATCGCGATGCGCAGATTACGATCCGAAGCTCTTGATTAATGTGGTTGTGTAAATACGTGCAATTAAATGCTCCTGATGACAAAGTTGCTCCTACATCTTGGGATGCGACGTATCTGCGTGTATACGTGTGTGTGAATGAATGTACACCGACAGGATATTTAAATACAGAACTTTCACTTTTATTCTGCCAGACTCTCTTTTTCTATCATTACATTACATAAAACGATTAAAGGCTATCCTACCGCTTGAAAGAATTATCATAATATTGCAGTATTTTTCGAGCCATCGGCCTTTTTACCGAGCGACGTCCCTTATATAGAAAATATGTCTTGTTTATGTACAATATGCAATCCTTAATACTTCAGTTTTGAAAAAGGATCCCCGATATATGTACCTCCGGACAAGTTAATACGCTGTACAGTCATATCCAAGGAGTATTTTCATCTCTCTTTCTCCCTTTCTATTTTTCTCTCTGCTCCTCCCTTTCGTCCTCTTATCTCTCGCAATCTTCATAAAAACAAAATTTATAGGATGGGGGAGACTACTACTGTGTGTGTAGGTGTGTATGTGCGATGTTACAATTTTCATCAGTGGATCATGGTACGTTTCTGAAACCCGAGCTTCTCGCAAAACGACCCCTTTCGCATCGGGCCTCACACTTATAATCTGTACAGTTCTGTCGAGTATTAAGGACGAAAGATACAAATGCTTAGATTCTAATTTCTTGTAACATATCGTTTTTATCAAATTTCTTTTTAGTAATAAAACACAAAGACATTTCTCTAGAAATAATAACGTATGCATAAGTTTACATTATGTTGAAAACCAATATAAAACTTACAATCTTTTGCCAATTCTTAGAAAAATACTACAGGAATAATTATTCTAAACTTTCACTTACAAAGTGAAATGCAAATGCTGCTCTAAATTCCTGGATGGGGCGTTGTTTTAAGATTTAAGAGATTAATAACAATAAAGCGATTACAGCTCTCCGTCATTACCGTGTAAAATTTAGCCTGAGAGATTTGGAGATTCGGTGGGAAGCAAACCATATTTCCATCGCGCAATCAAATCCCAGTTTAAATAATTTTGATATTCCTTTATCATCCAGCAGAAACAAGAGTAGACAATTGCGCTTGACTTTTAATCTGATGCCGGGCAAAGACCCGTCGTCTAAAATCTGCAAGTGCAATACGATGGAGAAAAAAAAGGTTTTGCGAAATTGCTTCGCAAAATAAAATCCTATTTACAGAGTGTCTTCCTCTCTCTCGCGAACGAAATACGGCGGATTGCTTCGTTACACGGAAAACCTCTCCCCCGCGTTAGTCGCGATTGCAATTTGTGCATCGTCCTCTTGCCCGCAATGTACACGCGCGAATACCGAATCGAACGGATTTTTACCTAAAAGGTCCCAAGCACCCCCGTGTGAAAAAATAAGCCTGGTTCTCTTTCCTAGAGGGAAGTACGATGCCGTTTCGCGCGCACGATACAAATAATTCGCAGCGCGTCGCTGTTCCTACAAATAACAATAAAGCAGTAAGGTGTGAGGGCCCTCGAAAAATGCCTCCGACGCAAAGTAATTAATATCATCGTTTAGTCGGACCGGTGCGCGGTTCCTTATCTGCCGCATGAGAACCTGCCGATTTTCGCGGTTCCCCGAGGAAACGCGTGTCCCTCCTCGAGATCGCGAAAGGCCGCGCGTCTCCTCGCGGCGCATTTCGTTTTTTTTTTATTGTGGAGGGACAACCCGGCTCCTTAAAATAACATTCGGCGCGTAGCGGCTCTAAGAAATGTTCCCGTTGCGAAACACGTGGCTCATTGTTTCCCCTATCGCTCGTTATGTACACAGGAGGAGCGTCCCTTCGCGATCAACCTCGCGTCACGTTCTCACGGTTCGCGGCGCTCGCCCACCGTTCCTCCCCTCGCAATCTCCGATCGCTCAAATTATCTCGACTGATTTGTGCTAGACGACATTGCGTAGCTTAATGAATGTACGTTTCGCGGTGTACGGCCGTTCGCTCGTCTCCTCCACGCCTCCCTTTGCTCGCTCGCGCTCGCAACTTCATCCTCTTCGCTTTTTTTTTCCTTTTACTATACGTCGCTCGTTTTAATGATACTAAAGTGACATACAACAGCACTCGCGCACTCTCTCGGGTTCTCTTTCTCATTTCCTTTCACTCCTTCACTCGCTCTTTTCTCTCTCTCTCTCTCTCTCTTTCTCTCGAATACTGGTAGGGTGTTGAGTGACAAAAACAGTAGTCTTAACAAACATACGATACAAAAACTCTTAAGTTATCGCTTAACGGCCAGTGTAAAGCGGGTTGTTTTATTTTATCATTATCTTTTCTTCTCCACCCTCTCGCTCTATCTCTTTCTCTCCTCTCCTTAAGTACCTGAAGAAGCTAGCTTTGGGAAACCTTGCCCCCGACCCCGCAAAACGCCAAGGCCTGAAACCGGTGCGGGAATCTCGGTGAGACCGGATTTTCGATCTCTCACCCCTTCCCCCCCCTCCCCCCTACTGATGGCGAACGGGAGGCCGACTGATCCGCAGGTGTCTTCGACGCCCGGAAGTCGTCACCGGTTCCGATCCGCGCCTCAATCACGTCCCCCCTCGCTTTTCTCTCTCTCTCTCTCTCTTTCCTGCTCCTCTTTCCTCGAGTCCACCTCGGATTTGCCTTAACGATGAAGACTACATACCCCTCTATGATAAATGCGATTGGTACGACTAAATTGGGTGGCGAAAGGCCAGACTATCACCGACGAATCGAGTGGTGTACACGCGCGTCCGATGTGCGTGAAGCTAGAAGCTATTATCTCCCATTGACGTCCCGTTCAAAAAATACGCATCTGTATTTGGGCGCGAGACACTCGCTCGGAATTTTATACACGCGGAGACACGCCGTTCCGACCTCTCTCTCTCTCTCTCTCTCTCTCTCTCTCTCTCTCTCTCTCTCTCTCTGTATTTTTTCCTTCTCTCTCTCCGCCTCCCCTTTCCTTCCTTTCTCTCTAATATACAGGAAGATAGAGCTCGCTCTCTTACTTTTACCGCGAGGATAAATACATTAAACTGGTTCTCGCTTTATACAAGTGGCTCGAGTGGAAACGCGAATTCTCTCTTTCTTTGGGATACGCTCCTCTCTCGCGCGGAAAACGAAGAAACACCGGGAAAGCCGCGGAGGAGAATTGTCGTGAACATAAAATAAAAGATACGGTCTACAAAAAAAAGAAGGGGGAGAGCATGGTGTTCCTTTTCTGTAAATAAATTTATTTTATCCACAAATGAAACTTTCAGGCTTTTACTTTCTATCGATTGAAAAGTAAAATCCTCGCGCATTTTGTGCAGACCCGATTACATAAAACCTGATACTTCAGTAAACAGATAAGACAATTCGATCTCGCTTAATGTAAATAAGAGTTTTTTGTGCTTGGGCTCTTCCTCCCCTACTGACGAAACGAAACTGAGAAAGTAAAACTGTTTGGAAGAGATCTATGATCTAGGCCACGTTACAATAAAATTGCAATTAATATCGGACAGATATTAACAGACTTGCGCTTTTTACTCACTCCCTACAATCACAAGAGTTAGCGAGTTAACATAAATAGTACTCAAAGCAATTTATTTACATATAATTTCTTGTTTCTGTACAATATTTCTTCCTGTTAGCTATAACCCAAGTGACTTTTAAAGCTGTAATTAAAATAAAATTCGGGATCGAGATGATAAGAAAAAAGAAAGAAGAAAAGCGTCGACGTGTTTCTTCGGAAAACGCGATTAGCGTTTTTACGCCGCGAGATTATAGAACTTTCTATCATACGAGAAACACGAACGATCGTATACACGAATATTCGAATTTTCACGCTCCTCGTGAGCCGTGGTTCGAGATAAACTAGAAAGAGATGAAGCGCACGAGGTAGGTTCGTTTAAATTGTCGGAAACCGAAAGGAAGTTTCGCGATATTGCTACATTTATAACGAAACGACTGTATCACATATACGTCTCGCAGAGAGAAAGATATTAATCATCTCATTTGCCTAGCATACGTGTAGAATGTGTAAATGAAAATGAAACGCAATAACAAGAAAACTATCAATTATCTTACTTAAATCTTAAATCATCTTATTTTATGTATATGATTTACATACAAAAGTTAACTAAAAAATTGCAACACTATTCTGTTAGAAAATAATATATCATATAGAAATATCCATTTTTTTTCATAATTTTAATATCTGTGACGACGTTAGATTCAAAGGTATAATTAAGAAAAGCTTCTTGGATTTCCGTTCAACGGTCAAATCATCATATAAGTAATCTCTGTATCAGATAATAATGTAGTGTATGTTTACAACAAATATTACATCCTTAATCTCTTCTACGTATAATACTAACGATTACTAAAACAAATAACTAAATCATCATTTTCTATAGAAAAAAAAACAAAAATCTATAGATTTTAATTACATAATTTTAATTACAATTTACATATTCTACACGTGTATTGCTGTTCGTTTTCCACATCGGTTCATTACGCGGTTCCCTTATGCCTTCTCGACAGAGCCTTCACTTTGGTTCATATCACGTAATGAGACACTATTCACAGGAACAGTTACACCTCGATTACTTGAAGCTACGATATTCTTTTCTTTCAACATCGAAAGAGAACAGAAAAAGAGAGAAAGAACAAACTCGACGAAGTTCTCTATATATTTATACATATATATCGCGCGCCGGGATAAAAATTTTGGAATGGATATCAGCGCCCGACGTACGTTTCCTCGTTAATCGTAATTATCATAACGAAATGTGTTAGGTAAACTCATATACTCCCATGCAGCCTCGTCCCGTTCTCACGAGCTTTTACAAGTTACAAGTTTAGAGTAAGTCCATAGTAAAATTTGCAGGCATTCACACGTTTCACGATAGCACACGGAGATACGATATAAATCTATCATTCTCATCTGAAACAAAGTGAAGCGTTTTTGTACTAAAGTGCAGCGATATATATATAATATTATACCTTTTTAATGAATTATCTACGCAATGTACAATCGTGGATTTTTACACGCACCATGACAAGGTATGGTCGGGCCGTACAACAGACAGCTGTTAGAATGATCCGTAGAACATACTATTGCCACTCCACATCTTTCTTCTCTTTTTTTCTCTCTCTCTCTCTCTCCTTCTCTTTCCCTCAACTTCTTACGCCTCGCACACCTCAAATCGGGTATATCGTCTCGTCCAAATGGCCTCAGTGTTCTTCGAGGGTTGTCTAAGAGCAGAGTGCCAAGAATTTACAGCGACAATTTTCTTTCTATATAAAGTTAGAGTTATACAGATACAGGTAAGCATTACACGAAAGGCAAAGACGATGCGGCTCCCAACAAGACCGCATATCCTTGTTACTATACCCTAATATTTCTTCGGAAAGAGAACTCTATTATTATTTGTCTATTCAGTCTGACCACACCATGTTACAACGTGGAATAGCTTTGCCATGATAAACATACTGTAGGTTGAATTATATAAATCCAGGCTCTCTCTCTCTCTCTCTCTCTCTCTCTCTCTCTCTCTCTCTCTCTCTCTTGCTCGCTCTTTTTACTCTGCGAGGGATCTATTCCGATACGGTTTTCGCTTGCTTCTTTAATCTTAACGCTTTATTCACTCGTCGCCTATTCCTGCGCCACAAAAAACGACTTGACTAGATTGCATCGCTAACGGTCCTTAACGATTAAAAATCTAAGTCTGTCATACATAAATGATCTGTACCTTACACTCTAATGTCGTAATTAACATCTAATGGTAGAGGGATGATCTACTGTTATCGACGAGAGAACTATTTTTAGTAATAAATCGTACATCTATTATATTCCCATCCTCTCTCCTTTCACGCATTTATTCATTCATATATTAATTTGCATGCACACAACATGCACACCGACGTGAAGTAGATCCACTGTTAATTTAAACTCCTGGAGAATATTTCTTTTGCTCGCAACTGAGCCTGCCTGCCTGCTTGCGTGCTAATGCAGCCGACGAATGTTCCAAATATTGTAAGTGTGACAGATTCACGGAATTCGCGTCTAAGCGCGCTTTTAATAATATATTTACAACACCATCGCCGTGGATCGTTTGATCCGCAAGTAAGATTGTTCGCTGGTCGAATCGTGTTTCTTAGCGAGAAGCGTTAAAGCCCCCTTGGGCCTAGTTTCAAACGCGCTGAAACGCCCGCGTCGTCGTCGCATCATAATCCACCGGCAACGACGACGCGCTAACATGATATAACAATACGTTACGATGCTCGCGTGAGCGTTCGATCGCTAGGACTACCTCTTCTTGCCGGGTTGCTTCGATGGCAGTCGCTTCTTCAGCTTGTGATCCGTCGACTTAACCGTCGTCGCCGGCGTTGTCTTCTTCTTCGGTCGCTCCGGCGAGCCGTTGCAGCACGCGCAGTTTTTCTTCACGTGACAGCGCAGACTGGATCTTCTTGCGCGGCAATCCGCCGGCTCCATTAGTACGATATTGCCCGTCTCGTCCTCCGACGCCTCCGACGCTTTGTCGCTCGATACCACCATCGACTCCGTCGTCGCCATCGGTTCTGCCTTGGGAATCCGTTTAACAAGCGTCGCTGCCGCCGCCGCTGTCTGTTTGTGATCGGTACGATTCAAGATCACCCTCGCGGCATTCATCTGCAGTTTGTCCTTCTTCTTCATATAAGTGCAATGCCGATCCGAGGACAAGGATTTTAACATTTGTACACTATCCTCCAGGCCATTGCTCAGCGTGACGTTGTCCTCTACTTGGCTACTAATCGACTCGCTAATGCTCGAGTCCTCATCGTCGCTGCTGGATCTCGCACGCTCGGACATTGCGTTCTCCCATGCCATGTACGAGTCCATGCGCAACTGGGACACCCGCTTTTTGTTGGCATACGTGTACTTGTGCGTAGCTAGCAACGGTCCAGCTGCAGCCAATGGGGACAGTGGCGACGGTATGGTATGATGGTCCGCGGTATTGCCGCTCAACAGGGTCAAACTTTCGTCGCCCGAACTTGCCGTCGAGGTGTTGTTGACGTTAATGCAGGGCGGCATTGATTCCGAATCCAAATCGATGTCCAGTTTCATGTTAGACGGTATGCTGGATACGCTGCTGGGTGTCCCTTCTTTTGAGCCGCTCCTCGAGATCAGTTTCACACGAAGACTCATATCTTTTGACGAATCGTTCTCCAAAGAGCCAAGATTTGCCGGTGATAACCTGGAGACGTCCGAGTTGCTATTGGACGCTTCATCCTGGCTCAGATTATCCAGGGTCAGTCGCATATGTTTCGCCGGAATGTCCAATTGCAGTTCCTCCTTCTCTCGCTTCCCTCTTTTCAACGAGTCCTTTAAAGTTCTCGTGCGTTGACTCGCGTTCTTCTTGCGTTCGTTCGTCTTGAAATCGCTTGTTGGACTGGCGTCCCTGCTGCCGCTAGATGAGTCCAACGACCGGAAGTATGAACTGTTGTACGGTTTCATGCCCAGAGACTGGCTGCAGGACGCATCCTGTGAGGAATGATCAAATGACGGCGAGTGATTTGTATCGAACAGCAGGTCTGCCTCGGGGAACAGCTCGCTGGTACTAGGTTCGTCGACTCCCAGATCTTCACACTCCTCTGACAAGCTCTTTTGCAGTTTGAGCTCGTACGCGGCTTTTTTCTCTATCCTCTGCTGCGTCAACTCGCGGTCTAATCTGGGAATCAGCTGCGATTTCATCAAATTGCTCTTATTGGAGTACGGAGTGTCTAGAGTATGATTCATGAAGTACTTTTTCGCGTTCGACTGATAGAGTTGTCCGCCTGCCATCTCGATGCCCTGGCCCTTGTTGATAATCTGCAGCACGCTCTCGGAGTTGTCGTTATCCCTGGAATTAATCGCGATCAGTCAACAGTTCTCTTTCTCAAAAATTTCAATATTTAAAAAGGTCTCTGGCTTGAAATAGTAATTAAATGCATGAAAATATTTATACAATAAATATTAAATTGCATGAAAACATTTGTATAATGAACTCGATATGATCCGAATCGTTTACCTGGAATACACTTTCAACGACTCGTTGCTCTGCGCGTTCATCGATGCGGGAACCATGTATCTCCATGGCGTGTCCGGCGAGATCTTTCCTTCCGACTCCCAGGCCTCTTGCAAGCGTGCGTTCTCGTAAAGCAGCCCGTTCCCAACTTTACAGGATCCGTCGATTGTCTCAGTGGATTGCTGCACAGATGACTCCTGGCTGTCCGAACTGCTCGGCCCACCGGTGACCAAGAACTGCGTCGTGCTACCAATAACGCTCGATTGCTTGTTTGTGGAAGTAATGGGAGACATAGATTCTATAAAAAGAACAGTATGGAAGAAGAATTAATCGTCGATACATATGCATATAATGTTAGGTAAAAATCGACATGTACGAAACTAAGCTTCTAATACAAGATATAGTGTCTATCAAAGATTCAGTCTCCTGTAAATTATAGCACAGTTATAAAATATATTTAATTAATTTGAAAAAATACCTATTTATTTTAGAAAAATATTACAAATAAAAATTTATTTATTTGTATATCGATATTTTTCAATGTAAGCAAAAAAGTTGTAATTTACTACATATGCTATAAAAAAAGTATAGAAGCGACAACTAAAGATTTAAGAAATAAAACATAAAAATTAAAGTTGTGACTGGAGAAACGCACATGCAGAAAATATACTTAGGACAAGTCCTTACCAATTTTCGTATTATTTTGTAACGATGTGGCAATGCTCGTAGCGATCAAAGTTCTCGGCGATATGTTTTCCTGCATGCCGATGGCGTTGTCGAATTTTCTCTTTACAGTTTTCGGTGAAATGATTTTGGTACCGGACGTTATCTCAGTGGATGCTTCCTTCGTGTCCTTCTGCTGTTGTTGCTGTTGCTGCTGCTGCTGCTGCTGATTTGCATCGTTCAGCATGGCGTTTACATCAGTCTGCTGGGCAAAAGTGAGCGCAATAGCGCTCGTTTGTATGGATACTGGCTTCTCGGTGTGTATCTGCCCGTCCTGAGGGGATTTCTTTTCCGGCGAATGGGAGACCGCGGCAGTCGGCGCAATGCAGACCACGTTTTCCGCCTTCAGGGTGGTAGACGCCGATGACAGTTTGTGTATACCCGAGTTGAAGAACCTCGTGCCCTGCAGCGTCGGATTGCTGGTGATAACGCCGCATATTTGCTGGCTGTCCGATATCTCGTTGATGTTCCGAGTTCCGATCAGGCTAAGGGTGGGATTGTTCTTGTTCACCACGATGGCGGCGGCACTCGTCGCCGTTGACTCGACCGCGATCGCGCTACCGGCGGCCACAGTATCATTCTTCAGCGTCAGCTCACCGATAACATTGGGCTTGTCCGGTGTGGATACCGCCACGGCGGCCGCCTCTCCAGCGAACGGCGTGCTTCCGGTCTGCGATATCACCACGGGCGTGCTCTGAACGTTCTGCGCGCCGGTCAGCGTCTGATTGTTCGACAAGGTCTGCAAGGTGGGCATCTTCATCTGCTTGGCCTGCGATTGCGGGATCAGTTTGCCTTGATTGAACAAGGACTGTAACAGCAGAGTGTTGGGAACTGTGCTGGTGGTGCGCACGGTTGTCGGCATAGTGAGCAGCTTGGACCCGGACACTATGGTAAACTGCTGGGTGCCCTTCATCAGCGGCACCACGATACTGGCGGGCATTAGGACCGATGCAGTACTCATCTTGCCCGTGACGGAGGCAATCGCCTCACTGACGCTCACCGAACCCGGTTGCATTGCATCCTGGACAATTACCGCGCGTGGCTGGCCTGAGCCTGGCTCCGTAAAGATGAGATTACGTCGCTTCACGTTCAGTTCGACGCCGTCATTCGAGTCATTCGTCAGATTGCGCACCTCAGCGCTCGCATCCGCGCTCATTGATGGCTCCTCTGGTGCGGAGAAACCGGCCGGACTGTCTTGCACGTGTACAACACCGCTCGACGAGTCCTCGCTGCCCATAGTCCTGCCGAGATCATCCGTGCTAGGGCTCAATTCGGAAGTCTGCTGTCCCACCGGCTTGGACTTGTTGGAGCTCGATTTCTTCCTCTTCGACGATTGACTCGGATTGGTCGGCGGATTAGATCTTCTGCGGGGTGCCGGCTTGTTATTGAGATCCGGCGAATTTCTCAGCTGCTCCGCGTATTCGTCGAGAATCGCGTAGATCCGCTGGGCAGTCTGCTCGTCCTCCTGTGGCTTCTGCTGCGGTTTCGGTATCGGCGATGCCTTCGACGTATTGGTGGCGCTGCTTTTGACCGTCTTGGGTGTTGATTTTTTCACATTGCCTTTGGCAGCGACCGCGGCAGCGGTCCCAGCTACGGCGGATGACGGTGTCGATGGTGTTTTGCCAGCCGACGGTGGTATCGGCGCTGGCGCCGGCGTTACGCACGGGCTCGAGGAACTCTGAGACGTAACGCTCAGCGCCGGCGACGCCGCTGGTTGACAGTAGCTGGTGACCACGACCACCGGCGTTGTGGAATTAGCCACCTTGGCGGTGCCGCTGTTCGGATTCACATAGGCCAGGGAGACCTTCTGCGGATACACGGACTCCTGTTGGTATGCCACGGCACTGCCGTTGCTGGCAAACTCGCTGTTCGCGCTGGACTGCGTCGGCATCATCAGTTGCTGCGCCAGAGTACTGACAGATATCTGTTGCTGCTGTTGCTGTTTGCTTGCCTGAGTCTGCTGCGTAGTGGTTTGCGTCTGCACGGCTGTCGTGGTCGCGCTATTGGAGATCGACTGGTGAGACTGCGGCTGAATACTCCTCTCCTTCACCTGTTCCAGCACGCTCTCGAACTCCCGTAATTGTTCCAGAGTTGTCGAGCTCACTTGATTGTTCACCTCGATCGGAGAACCGATCAGACTTTCCGCTCTCACAGCTTGCTGTTGTTGCTGCTGCTGCTGTTGTTGCTGCTGCTGCTGCTGCTGCATCCTCGGCGTCAAGACAGCCTGGATGGTTCCCGTCAGATTCTGCTGTCTGACCGGCGCACGGATGATGTTAAGCTTGACCACAGGAGTTCTGGCACCGGGTACCGAATTGGCGTGCGATATGATCGTTGGTGGGCTGATGATGTTGAGCTGATTTGGATTATTGGTTATTACCTTGTGCGTATATATAACGCTTCCGGCGTTCGACGAATTGGTGTTCTGCACAAGTTGGAGCGTTTGATTCGCGGCCTGATTCGAACCGATAGAGGCGTTCGCCGGGCCATTGTTACCGGAATTCGGCACAATGTTGACTATCTGCCTGCCAGCCGGTAGTTGGGAAAGATTGGGAATAATTGATTGCACGTTAACGCTACCAACGTTCGTCTGCTGTTGCTGATTGTTCGGAACTGACGTCTGTACCGCCTTCGAGAGATTTGTCGTCGTCTTCTGCGGCGACGTCGTCGCCACTTGTTGAACGTTGCCTAGCGGTGCATCTGTCGCAGCACTAACGACTCCACTTGCGGTCGCATCGGCCGGCAGGGTGTAGATGGTTTTACGAAAGGCCTGTTGAAATTTGGGTAGGACAGCGTTCTGACCGGTCTGAGGCGCGCTCTTCACAATGGAACCGGTGCCGGTCAATCGATCATAGGTATTTCTGTTGGACGGCGCGCCGCCTGTCACATCCGCACCACGTTGTATCGTTTGTCGTGTAAAATTCGCACTGCTACCGTCCTCCAAGTTTTGCAGGCTCAAGCGATTCCTCTGATTGGACACGATTTGGTTGGAATTGACCGACGCGAGGTGGTAACTGCCGTCGGATTTGCAAATGAGTTTTAACGACTCGGACGCAATGGACGTCGCGATCAATCCGGCCGAAGACATCGTGGTCGTCGCCGTTGTCATCGTTGTAGCCGTGATTACGCCTACGCCCGTGGAGCACGGCGAAGAGGGTGACTTTTTCGGCGATTGGTTGTTCTGTTGATTGCTCGCGCGACGCATCTGTGCCATCGATCTCACCGGGCTTGACGACTCGGTAGAAGCGATGTCAAGTTGATGGATTACCGAGGGAACATTGTTGGCAGCCATCGTCATCGTCGGGCCGATAGTCGTAGGTGACGCAGCATCCAGTGGCTGACTAGCCTCCTCGCCGACGGTGTCCGGAGTTCCGAGGTTCGACGACGATCTCAGTGGTGGTGTTTGGCCAGCTGGACTCATGCCGACGCCGCTGTCGTGGCCGCCCGTTGAAGACGGAGTACCCGGCAGCTGTATGCTGCTGTTGCCACCGCCACTGCTACTCTGATTGCTAGCCACACTTGGGGTGCGCGTTGGCCGCGGTGGCGTGCCGCCACTGACGTTAATGCTTGTCGTGGTGCCCGTGGCGGAACTCGGGCTCTGCGGCACGCCACTTCTCGAGAGTTGGACAACGTTCACCGTGGAACTCTGGCGGGGCGGTACCATCATGTCCAGCGAGTTGAGACCTGGCACATTTTTTGCCAATATGTCAGAATCCCTGGCAGCCTTCTCGAGAATATCAAACTTGTTTTTACCCAAGGTGGACTTGATGACGGAATTGTAATTAGGATGGTGACGATCGCGACGTCCGTCAACTACCACAGAGCACCTTTTGCCGCCGGCGTTGTTCTTACCGCTCGCGACATGCTCCTTCTGTTTCTTCTGATAAGTTATTACACTCTTGTTCGGCGAGAACGGCATCGTCTTTTGTATGTTGATCAGCTCGCTGGTGATGTCACCGCTACTCAGCCGCTGCTGCTGTTTCTTGCTACGGCTTGTTAATTTACGATCGGCTTCGTCTGTGCGCGTCAGCACAATCTTCGGGTTCAGATTTAGCGTGCTCAGCATGGGCGCAAATTTTGCAATGTTGTTGGTCGCCTGTTGCTCGGCATCCGTCCGATTGCCATTATTAGCATCCTTGCTCTTGTTTAATAAATTCTTCTGCAGAATTTGTGAAATCCTCGACGGCTTCTTCGAGCTTTGCGGTCTGAACATCCTAAGAGATTTCAGCACCGCCGGATCGCTTCGCCTTTCAGTAATGATCAATTGCGCCGCAGCTGTGTACGCCGAGCCCTTGATCGTCTCACGCTTATTTTCGTCCATGTCGGCGGAAAAGAGAGTAATAATGTCATTGCTGCTAACATCAGAGCCACTGGCGTCCTCATGCGTGTTCGTGTGCCGTTCCTCGTTCACTAACATATGAAAATGCGAGACAGATTCAACGGTGAGCTTCGATGTCTTCGAGCGTTTCTTGCTAGGCTCCTTACCGCTCGTTTTGTTGGATTTCTTCTTGTTCTCTAACCGACAACCGTCGCTGCCCAAACTGTCAGTCTGACTATCTTGCGTGTTGCTATCGCTGTCCGACACCGAGCTAATCCTATTTCTAAAGTGCTTTGGTTTACGTTCGGCGATGTCGTAGTCGCTCTCGGACGATTCCAACCGATGGATCTTCCGCGCTCGTGCGGTGCGTCGCACGCGCAATACACTGCCACTGTCGGAATCCGTAGTGGTATCATCTAAACTGCGTCGCATCGACGAACGTTTATAGCCGGCCGCCGGCTGGAAGCTACCAAATTGCTCGGAACTATCGGATGGCATGTCAACCCACTGCTCGTAACCCTTCTCGATACCGAAGAAGACGTCCTTAGTATCGTCCTCCGATGGCCAATCCTTGAATTGCGAGTAATCAATGTTCAAATATTTAAGCTCCTTGTTCGTATTGCGCATCTCCTCAGCGTTTTCCAGGTATCGCTCGCATAAATTCTTCAACTCCTTCCAGTCCAGTACCCAACTGAGCATGTGGTAACGTGGACTACTCAATACTACAGCCAAATCGTCGCACAATTGCGGCGATAGACCCAGTTTCTCACCATCCAACACTTGGCTGGGCACAGACTTCTCGTCATAATTCGCTGAGCCCGTCACCGCGTCGCCCTTGATCAGAATCAATGCGTCCAATGTTCTCTCCACATTCTTGCCCGGCGTCGTGCTGGTTTCGTTCAATTGTGATTTATCGTCGTTCAGCTGGTTACTGCCGGTGAATTCGCCGCAATTGAAACATAGCTCGCCGAGCGTCGCGGATGAAGTATGACGCTTCGGATGCAGCGGACACCTGTCACTGGTTGACGCCACTGGTGTTGCCGTGTCAGACGATGTCACGTTGGGATTCTTTGTCGTTAACAGAGTCTTCAACAACTGATCAGTCCGTTCGAACGTTTTCGTTACCTGACCGTTCTGATAGTCCACGCCTTTGGCGACGGTTAAATTTTGATGCGGTGGCTGCGCTTCCGAAACTGTCGAACTCAGCGAGGGCGTCGAGGGTGTTTCCGTGACGCCGTTATCTTCCGTTAGCTCGGATTTCACTTCGCTCTTGATGACCGACATGGGGAGATGATCGTCTTCTCCAATTTCCTTGGGCTCTTCCTTGACTTGAATTTGCTCCTCTTGCGAAACGCTATCTTCCTTCACCTTTCCACACGCCACCGCCAATTCCTTTATTCTGTCGTAACAGGCTCTAGTAGGATGTAAGGAGAATGCCGTCAAAACGCATTCTCTTGCGATGCCAATATTGCTGTCTACTACGTCCGCCAATTTGAGGAATTGCGTGCTCAGACGCTTGGCTGTTTCGCGCACCTTATCCTTGTCCGACTTTGCCTTCTGACTCTCCAGCTCGTTCATATCCGTCGTTAGCGCTCTGATGTACAGTTCGATCACCAAAGGTTTTATACTCTCGCCGAACTGCAATGAAAAAGAAATCCAAGAACAATTACATTTGCTTCATTGAAAAAAAAAAGATTATCTAATTTTGCCTCTGAATGCGATAAAACAAAATCTGACTTTTCTCTCTATTTTATTAATATAGTTAACTTCTATTTTGGTCATTCTGTTCTTACACAATACAACTTTTTTTTATCACTATCTCTGGCAGAATGAAACACCATGTGTGAATATTTAAAAATATTTTCTCCAATTATTCAAGTTTTTAGATGAAATGTTTACTTACATGTTTTGCAAGTACTGCACAGAAGATATAAATATGTTGAGCACTTTCCGCGGGTTCAATTAATTTTCTAATCATGCCGGGCAGAGTCGGTGCAACATCCTTCAATTTTGCGTGCAACAGCGCCCAAGAGTTCAAAATCTGCTCCAAAATATTTGCACCGGTTTCCGATACCGGTCGAACCATCCCGGCAGTAACGAGATACTGCGCGACCAATTCCGCGGCCTTTATCGAATTTCTCCAAACACGCGCCGTTCCATACTTCGTTGGCTTCTCACCGCTAAGCCTTTGGACCAATTCAAGCCCGTCGTTGAGGTCCATTAATTTTAACTGTAACAAAGCGCAGTTATGAATTCCAGCACGGTAATATTCGCGTAGAACGCAAAACGCGCGTTTCTTCGATCACAAGGAAGCCAATCGACCTTCTGAAACGCATTTAACTGGAATTCCGCTTTCCCACGATTCAAATCGTTTGAAAAATGTGTTTTCAAATCCCTCTGAATACACCCTCGCGCTTCAGCAGATCTTGGCAAATTAAGCAAGTAGGTCGATGTGACTCATGGCACAGTGATCTGACATTTTCGTTGATGCTCCTGGAGCATCAGATGCATTACAACTTCACTTCTCCAAATCAGATAAATTGATTTAAGAAACATTACTTGAAATTTTGAAATCCACTCATTTCACGTTCGCATTTTAACTTCTGGCAATCTAAACCGAATGAACGTCCCTTGCGACAATCTGTCGTTTTTTTCTTCTATCGATTACTTACTTGAGCGAAAATATCTTGCGTGCGTTTCAATTTGTACAAGAGAACGATGTACACGTCGATCATGTAGTGAACGTGATGAGACTCCGAAAGCGACCGCAGCTGATCGCTTCGTCTGAGGGAGCGCACGCATGCAGCGGCGAGGTTCACCGCTATGTCCTCGCAGCGGTCCTCGCAGAGTATCTTCAGTCTCATCGTCAGCAGCTCGCCTTTCTCCGAACAACAGAATTCTGAAAGCGCAACACACGATTCACCACAACACGCCTCCCGGTGGTTGCCATTCAACAACGTATTAACGCCGCGACTTTTCACGGGATGCGAGAAAAAACAAAACCTGGAGATCGTTAACGAATTCATTTACCTTTCAAACTCAATTACCGAGGAACTTATTCAGGTGCCGTGAACGATATTCAGTTGGAATTAAAATAAAATCAAGGGTTGAAATAAATGCCATGAATGTATGCGGAGAATAAAAGTCTCTCTCGATAACATTGATATAAATGGTATAAATGGCACTTTTAGTTTTTTCTATGAATTCGCGCAACGTACGGTCGTCGAGGATTCAAAGATAGCCGTGCAAAGTTTAAGAAATCAGACACGACTGAGCTCTCCTGATCACAAATAAAAAACAAGTAAGAATTCAAGGCACGAAAGAAACTACTGTCGTGCATTTGCACACCAATCACGCTATACTCTGATCTAACTCATCTCTTTTACAATTCGCGAACAAGATCTCTAAATTTATTAGCTATAATTGTATTAAATACAATGCGCAAAATTCGATATCGAAACACGAGTTACTCTTTAATACAACAATCTTTAACTGTGGATTCACCGGGACTTCTATATAATTTTTTAATTTGTATCAGTTGTGTATTTTTTAAAGAAAAACAAGTAGAACCTTATTTTATCAATATACATGTATAGAGAACGATTTTATCTCCCATTGTTTCATCTAAAGAGTTCTAGAAGTCCTTGGAATCTGCTAATGTGCCTAATTAGTCCGACGTTATTAAGGCGAGACATGACAAACTCCGGGAACTATAAGCTTCAGCTATTTTCACAATTAATAAATAGAGTTGTAAAGTGACTGGATTATTCTGATTTCTTATTGATATAATTTGCCTATTTGATTCCGAGGATCAATTAAAAAATGTTATCACGATTCAAGCTCTTAGATTAGTTGAGGTTCTTAATAAACTTTTACTAATGTAGCACCTCGTGCTACATATTCTCACCTTAGTAACGCCGGGTTAACAGGTGCACGCGAATATACCTGTTCAAACAACCCACTTTTCCACCGAGATTGGGCACAGGATATTATAAGATCGCCGACACGTGATCACACTTTTTCTTTTTAACTCAAATTTAAAACGGGACCGCGCTACATCAAAACCCGGCGACGATAATTCGTCCTTTTCTTACCCTCCTCATGTTCGGAATCCGGTTTGCCGTTAAGTATGCTGTCGAGGACGGGATGCTTCCATGGATTGTTCGCCAGAGCCAGCAGAGCGGTGCACGTGGGTGCAGCGGGATGTTGCTTCAGCCGAGACGTACACCTCTGCAGCGTTACGCAGAGGTGCGTTTTGGCGACGGGTGACAACTTCGGCCACTCCCCGCGCAATATCAATGTCAATGTGTGCCTGTGCAACGTAAGACAGCAGCGTGAGTGAGCCGCAATGTAAAAAAAGGTGAGGAAAGTCCCCTTATACACATATAGGTTCCCAATATGAGATAGCGGAGTTTCTGCTAAATTAATAGCAGGGTTGGGAAGTAACTCGTTACTTGTAACGAAGTTACAGTTACAGTTACTTTTTTTTGTAACTTAACTTCGTTACTTTCTCTCCATCCATAACTGTAACTCAACTCAGTTACATTTTTTCGATAACTAGTAACTAATTTAATTAGTTACTTTATATGTATTTTTTTTAACCTTCACAGATCGCATTAGGCTTTGCATTTGCGCAAAAACGCCTTTATCGACACTTTACAATTCAAATGCAAATTTCATATTTTTATTTTCATTGCAAGAAAGTAACTGCAGAGTAACAATTCGTTACTTTTGTAATAACTGTAACGCGTTACTTTTCATAATTGGTAACTTGTAACTGTAACTAGCTACATTTTTAGCGAAAAAACTGTAATTGTAACTAGATACTTTTATAAAGTAACTTTCCCAACCCTGATTAATAGGTAACATCCGTTTGTACCACCATGAATTTATTGCCCTTGGAGTGAAATCTGTTTAGTGGAAAATTGATTGTTAGATCGTGTAATCGTTGCGAAAAAAGATTTGTGATTGCATTTGGACGTTGAAAACCTACTGTCTCATATTAGACTCCTATCTCGTAATAGAGGACTTTCCTCTGCAAACAGCGGGACGTGTTTTGCGCGGATTTGTTCTCGTATTTGTTTCCCGACGTTTCGCAACCTAAGTCCGCGGCGCCTATGGGCCTGAGCAGAAAGATTGCCAAAAGTGTTTGCGATTCCGTAGTAAAACGCAAGTCGGAAGTCAACGCGCGAAGAATTGTCGTAGACGTATGTCGTATTCATCGAATCGCAAGGCGACATGCGTCTACGACGATTGTTTGTGCGCTGACTTTCCGACTCAAGTCTTACGACAAAATCGTAAACGGTTACGACAATCTTTCTGCTCAGACCCTATCGCGGGGTCGAATGTTAAAGTAAGAAAGAAAGAGAGAAAGAGACGTCTGGCATCTTCTGGAGAGAGAATCAGAATTCCTACAGCTAAAAGCCAACGCTTCAGTTCTAACATACCTTTTTATTAACTCGTTATCTTTCGATCGTCGATATTTATTGTATTATATAATTAGATGTACAGCGACAAGATGTAATTTAAGTGATAAGAGGAAGAGTTAATTTAGATCTTGTCAGTTCGCGATAATCTGTCGCTCCGACTTGGCATTAGCAATGGCGAAGTCGTGAACGCGGAACTCATTGGAGTAAAATTAGATTAAGAGTCGGACTTCCTGATTACTTATTCACGTCTAATTCATCCGCGAGATTTAATTCATCCAGCAGCAACAATGCCGAACGGCTCCGCTAATCAGACCTCCATTACGGAGGCGAGGCTGGAAACTTCACGAAGAATAATGTTCTCGGCGCCATCCCTTTTGGACCGCCCTGTACCCGTAGGGTGCCTCGCTTGTATACCCGTCACGTTAACGTGAATTTGCGTCGCATTGCTATTCAAAATTCCGGGATCGTTTGTATGACGGTGCTACATACGTGCAGATTCATTACTCAGTGCAGTCTGTCTCTCTCGCCACATTTCTATCTCTCTCTATCTCACTCTCTCTCTTTCTCTTTCTCTCTCCCATCACGTTCATTTGCCGTAGAACTACGCTGTTACATCGAAACTCGTTTCACGCTACCTTTGTGCCGAAAAAAACTCGGGTCGGTAATACAAAAAAAAAAGTCGACTTTGTACATGCTACGCGTTAAATGGGTCATACACGCGCGCGGGGGTCCTCGCGATGCAACAATAATGAACATAATTAAGTGGTAAGTATAACTTGGCAGTCCCGACATTATGCATTCAATTATTTAAATGCCCGAATTAAATGATAACGTAATAGTGTGAATTAACGTTAAAAGAATTATCGTTTACTCCGTATTCATTATTTCTAAAAGAAGCCGTTTAAAAACCGCGAAAACGTCGGAATTGCTATTTATAAAAACAATAGATACTTTATTGGCATCGGTTGAGCGAGTTCAATTCACAACTCTTTTTCAAATTAAAATATAAACTTTCGCTTCATTATACTCTCCAGAAGCCAATCAGTGAATTATCACTGAAAACAAGGAACAGTCACTGAATCGCAGTTATAAATATACCGCTGAAAATCGCAGTTATAGCTGCAAATCAGTGACTGTTCGCTGTTTTCAGTGATAATTCACTGGCTGATTTTTAGAAAGTATTCGAACGAATAAAAAAAAACAGTCACAATGCGGAGATTGGCGTGGTGGCTCTTTAACGACGTAATCCGACGAGAAACGATCGTAGTTATGCAACGGTACGTCCCCTCGGTACGTGTCTTCGCGAAACGAGTTCCCCTGTTAATCGAGGGTCGGCCACATAATCGCGGATGCAACAACAACGATCGACGGACGACGTGTACTCACCTGTGAGCCCATTCTATGAGAGACTGGATGTCCTCGGGCGGTGCCACAAGAATATAATTGGTGACATGCTCCCAGGCTGACAGAAGCGCACTCACTTTGTCGTTGTACTTCTTCTTGCTGTCACTCAGCGTCGCCTCGAGCCCCTGCGAAGCAAAGAAGGCGCTGGCTCGATTAAGAGGAACCGGAAAATCATCGGAGAACGAAGGGATGCTGAGGGGGCCGTAATCGTCGCGTCAGCATTGACGTGAGACGCGACGATTCAACCTGACGAACGCGGCACCGCGATTTTTTTCTCTCTCGCTTTTGCATCCCGAGCCCCTCGATATACCCCGTCAATTGTTTTGCCCGGTTAAGGGCGTCAAGGGCGTTTCCCGTGCCGCCTAATTACAAATCGTATATTTATCTGTGGATATTCGCTATTTACATTGGCGGTAAACAACCAATACCATTACCTTACCTTAAGCAACTCTAATTAATTAACTCAATGTGTTTGTCCGCTTCTATATCTTATGTATCTTCGAGCTTTCTGTATCTTCGCGTTTCTACCCTTCTCTCCTACCCATCTTTCATTCCACCAACCGCATTTCCGTACATTTAATAAATTAGATTTGCAGAATTGAAATGTGAAATATACACTTTTGTGTGTATTCCCTCTCTGGAGGTTTATATTTGCTTTCATTCAAGTATCACAAAACACGTTAACATATATTGACGTTACGTATTACATTATTAATACTATTAACTTTAAATTGAGGGCGATACCGGCGTTTAACGTTGAACTCTAAAATAAAAACGAAAGACCATGCCACAGTTAACCGACATTGATAAATCGATCCATCGACCGGATCGGACGATCAAGAAATACCGCGCGCGAGAGAAGATTGAATTCAGAAATATAAATCCAGAAATATAAATTCTCAGAAGTATAAATCCAGAAGAGATAGTCGTGTCGAAAGGATCATCGACGGAGAAAGAAGCGCAAAGTTTTCACTCAAAGGAGGAAATATTGAAAGCCATGACCCGGTAGAATGTTCCTTGAAGCACGGTACTTTTCAGCTCGCTGTATCAGCATAGTCGATAATTTTACGTTGGCGATACGGCGTGTATTACGCAAAAAAATACGGTACTGTCGCGTGCGAGGAGAAAGAGCCTTTTGGATTATGCAATTTCTCAGAAGACGCCGCGTTCGCGAGAAGAAGATTAACTTTTTACTGCAAAGTAATACGTAAGTAAGTTCGAACTTAAAGTGCACATCTTCGCTACCACCTCGCCAAGGATTTATAGATATTTAAGCGACGCAAGAAATGCCTTCGAGAACTCTAAATGTTACAAAAGAGTTATTTCGAAGGGTTTATCCGAAAGAAGAAATTTGATCCAGAGGTGTAGAACCAAGATTCCTCGATGGAAGGGAGGGTCGTGCTGAAAACGCTTAAAGTACCGCGTCATACATCCTCGATGTAAGAGCCGCCCACGTTGCTTTCTAAAATCGAAGGAGTTTCCATTTTGAACGGGTTAAAAGAGGGACCCTACTGCATCCGTGCCGCTTGTTTCTTTCAGTAGAAAGCGCGGCCGCACATAACAAGCGTAATGACATTTATCCAGGGGACTTTGAAGCGACGTTCCCTTGGCAAACAATGTTTACCAAGGACCACGTAGTTCCGCGGAGGATTGATAACGCGGTTAAAGCTGCGGGGTTATTCGGGAATCGTATTATTCAAAGCAATTACCTGCGCGCTCTAAGGTTCGTGCGAGACGAAAAAAAAGGGGCGAGCCGAGTTACAAAGTAAAACTCATTTCCTTCACCGAGGATTTTACATGAGACTCGATTCGTCACGTACCGATTTCGCTACGGGGTTTTCCGCTGACTCACGATTTAGAAAGAAAGGGCTACTTTTCTCATTGTATACTGAATCAGCCGTGTTTATCCCAATAAAGAATTCGTGAGAAATTACTTTGCTGTCGTCCGCAATATAACGATTTTTAATAAATACATCGCCATAAAATTCATCTCATATTTTTATCGGCAGATATTCGTGAAAAGCTTTCGTTAATTTCAATTACATTTTACTATTGAAGGAAAGTCCCGTATTGTGAGATAGCGGGTTTCCAACACTCAAATTCAATCACAAATCTTTTTTCCCCAACGGTTATACGATCTAGCAATGAATTTTCCACTAAACAGATTTCGCTCCAAGGGCAATAAATTCACGGTGAAATCAACCGATGATGCCTTTAACAGAAACCCCGCTATCCCACATTAGGACCCTATCTCATAATAGGGGACTTTCCTCTACACGAGTTCGAAGCAAGTTTCATTGACGTTGGAGAGTAGCGTTGCAGACGACTTAACGCATCGTTATCGAGATGGCTATTTTACGGCTAGCCAAGATATTTTGAGAACGCAATATACTCCGCCCGCGGGATAAAAGCTTCGATATGTAGCGCGAAACGCATCAGCAAGATTTTGCGCGAGTCCGATGCTGCGGGTAAACATGTTACATCGGGTGGGGGTTCGGCAATAAACCGCAAATACCTGGCGATTGAAACGAATTTGACATGGCACTGGCAAATCCGTCGAGTAAATGTCAGCCTTCATTTCCATCGGTTCTTTTTGTTAATCACAGCTCTATGTATCTCGCTCGTTTCGCTAACTTTACGCCGTGTACAGGATGCATGTAGAAAAAAAACCGTTATTGCAAACGGAGTTTTTAGAAACATGTTTTGCTCGCACCAAAAGTAAATGATTAAAAAAAAACCGTTAAACGAAGATTCCAAAAAACCGTTTTCTTTCTAACAAATTTTTCAGAGCTCTCGCGGTTTCAGATTTATGAAAATAATAATAGACATTTACGTGACAGCCCCCCGCGAAAAATACCGACGTGGCGATGGTAGGCAGAACTTCTTTTGCTCTGTCAATTGTTAACTAAAGAGACGGAGACTTATGTTATCCCTTCTCCCACGCACACTTGTAACGTTATCATCGCGGGCATGGGGGAACGTTTTTCCTTTGTTCGCAAACATTTCTCTTCGCGTATTTGAAAGGAGTATTTCCTCCGTCAAGAGACGGAGAAAATATGGAAGTTCTTATCTATCTCGGCAAAGTCTTTATGTCACATAATATTATTCTGTTTGCCGTCTTCCGGCGTGTTTCGCTACGTGCGCATCTGTTCTATCGAAAGATGAAGATTGCCGAAAAAAACAACAACCAATAACGGCATTCAAAGAGGATAATTGAAGGATTCGATGCAACGGAAGATTTACCGCAACGAATAATACCGTTCGCTTTTTAAGGGCTTGAAAAATTAATCTACATTTGTCTTCAACTCGACTGTAAGATTAATGTTTTCCACTTCGCGCTAATAAACGCGAGACTCACCTTTATAAGATATTCCTGTCCCTTGGAGCTCGTGAACGAACCGCTGTGCGTCGTTGGGACCGACGACTGAAGCTGCAAAAAGAAACAGATTAATAATAAAATTGGAAAATATTCGGAAGAGCCCGGCTCTACCGCATTCTCTTAAAATTAAAGCGTTTTAGGCCGTGATATCGGACGCGGGCAGTTGAAGGAGCGCGAACCAGCGACCGCGAAAGTATCGGTTTCGGGAAAAGGGCGTTTGTCAGCGAAGTTGCGCGCGCTGGGCTCGTCCCAGATTGCGTTCTGCATACGATGTAATCGGTCACGTGCGCTCGCGTATTACACGAACGATGAGAGCCGGAGCCGGTGTTTAATGTTGCAAACGCGTCGCGAATGCAACGTCGCGACGTCGGGCGCAAAATCGGCGCGGCCAGGGCGCGACGAGCGCGGAGGCTGAGACCGAGGGGAAAGATGTCATCCTCTCGCACGACGCACGAGACGCGCGCGAGAGACCGTCGTCGGCGGTATTCCCGGGCCGACGTACGTATCCAGGAACGTACTCGACACGTCGCCCACAAATTCCCCGCGAATGCGCCCGATGTATCCGTGCGCATCCGGAATGCCGGGGGGGGGGTGTGCGGCGAGATTCCCCGGGTGCAGCCGTGGGAGAGGCGCATCTTTGCCGCTCGCGCGAGCCGGCGAAGAAGACCGCGAGGGACGCCGGAGGTAAACACAGTGCGAGACACGACGGCGCTCTCCTTTAACCCGCCTACACGCCGGAATCCGCCGGCAAAAAGATTCGGGGCGTTTCATCATGATGGATTACGGGACCCGCGTTCATATACCTGAGCATTACCTCCCGCGGCACGAGACTCGCGGAGGTAAATTAATTTGCCGTCCCCGGATCTTCGAAAAACGAGAAGAGATGTGTTAGAGACTAAACGTTGTTAACTAACGAGAATATTCTTAAAAGTCGCCAGCAGTGATTGACAACAATTAGTGATTTTTATTGACCGTATCTGGTAATTTTAATAATACAGAAAATTTATTGCGAAAAAATTACTTGGTCCAATTGGTTGAGACGCCCGCCTAGAGTGTAGGGAGGTCCAGGTTCAAACCCTGGCTGAGGTAATATTTTTCGCAATGAATTTTCTGTATTATTAAAATTGCCAGACACGGTCAATAAAAATCACTAATTAACCTTATTAAATTAATCCGTGCGTCACTTTCGGGATGAATATGGAATATTTTTCAGTGGCGAGTGTGACGCAGAGAAATGTGAGCTGCTTAGTAAACAAATGAACGGAAAGATTCGAGTTCAAATTCACGGACACCGCTGGTTTCTGTCGGAATCTCCCGAAGGGAGTGGCAACCACCGAGAGTATCTCGCCACACAACACCCCTTCAGGGGTACAGCCATTCCAGATGGCAGGTTTCCTTCGGTTAGCAGAATCTACCGAAGATGAAGTAAGACCAAATGCTCAAAGCACCAGAACGAACTGGATAAAACAGGCTTTAAGGCTGATACACGAGGAAGAATGAATATTTTTCATAAAATCAGCCCCCTCGCATAAACGTTTAAGGGACGCGGGAGTGCTTTCGCGTCCTTCCGCATGATCTTCGTAATTATTACACACAGCGTCTCTTCGCGGAAATAACGTTGTCGGTTCGATGTACCGGTGCAACAAGTTTTCGTAAATCTTTAAAGGCTGCGAGCACGCGAGATTATTACGCTGCAGCGCGATGTCCTACCTGTGCGGTACGGCTACGTCACAAATCAATTGTAATGTTGGCTTTTATTATGAAATACGGGTCAATAAGTTCTCCCAAGGCAATTTCCTCCTGTACGCTCGCGAGCACGTGTGTGGGCCACACGACCGCGATATTTATCCCACTGCTGAATGCAACCAGTGCAAAACGTCACAGCCGCAGTTTCCACGTCTTTTTGCTCCTCGCATTCGAACACTTCGTCACGTAAATGCAATATAGCGTATCCAGCGTAGCGATGTAATGTCGTTTTATTCAAATTATTTAGCCTCAGCTGTGAGAAGACATTTAAAAACGAAACGCAATTTGCTCTTCGTTTTATTATCTAAAACATTTGCGTTTTATTTACGCGGGATGTCCCAATTTCCCGGTTATTTCGGCGTTAGCGCTTCCCCCCCCCCCCTGTTGGCAGTTTTATTTTTTTTTCGCCCGACATAATTTTACCCTGCCGCAACTTCCCGGATACGCGAGGCGTTTTTATGCAGCTGCAATTTCACTCTAGATTATTCAATTTTTTTACAAACTTTTTGCTCGCGATCATTTTAGTTTTAATCCGTTCCATTGCGCGCGCTCCCGCGATGTGTGAGTAAGTTTCGCTCGCAATCCGCTTAGCGTTATCATGTGACAAAAGCGCCGGAAATATCGAGCGCGAGGCCAGGCTTAATTTCGCGGCATTTATCAAAATCGATTTATCCGTCGGCTCGGGCCGATCTCGTTCGCGAATCTATGGATTGATTCGACGGCACGACCAACTTTCCGGAGAATTACGAATCTGGGTCAAATGGATCCATCGCGTAATAACTTTTGAGGTTGACATTGAGGCAGCGCGAAATTCCTCGAGGCTTTCATCCGCTTGAACGATATTACGAAAAATGGAATGCTTGCTAGTGTCATATAGACGGACCTCGTTCACGGTGTATTATTGCTGTTATTATTACCAGTTTGAGAGAGAGAGAGAGAGAGAGAGAGAGGGGGGGGAGGAAGAAGCTCAACTTGCTAAATTAATATTTAATATTAACACTGGAAAAAGTGCTTAATTAAAAATTCATTAAAATCCAAAGTTGAAAGATTAAAAATATAATCCTCCCATTATCAATCTTGTTTTCTTTTTCATTTTACGTTGTGAAAGGTTCACCAAACTTTGCTGGGCGCCCCCTTTATATCCCTCGCGTGAGCCATTTTATTTTTACATTTTTACATGAAACATTTATTATAATATACACAGGAAGAACTCGTAGCGGAGTCAATCAAGTGTAACCCAGATGGCAATAAAAATTTCCAGGTGCAGGTGCGAGACTTACGATTTCTTTTCCGAGCACGCACGCTGCCCGATCGTTAGACTGGAAGCTTTACTCGAAAGCACAACTCGCAAGCTCTGTTACTTACACAGAAAGTCCCCCCCCCCTCGATCTCCCCCGTCACTGCCGCGTAACTTTGCCCATTTGCAACTTTCGTGTTGCGCGCCCCAGCGAGCCACCCTTCTTCGCGGAGAGGACCTCGTTTCCCCCCCCCCCCCGATTTCGTTTTCTTTCCGACGAAAATGGTTTTACGTTCTCACATAACAAATCCCGCAGACGGCGCGGGAGAGAGGCGCCCCCCATTAATATTCCTTTTCTCTCACCCGTAATTTCCTTTCTGCGAGCCCGAGGTGGACAAACGTTAAGATAGCGTCTCCGCCTCTCCGCAAAGTGCTACTTCACGAGACGTGAGGAACAAGCTTATGACGGCATAGAATAGCAAGGCGATATAGAATAGCAAGGTGTTCTTCTCAGAAGAGATTTGAAGTTGAATTTTCTTAGGCAGACAATGCATACACGTAGTCAGGTTAATTCCGACGTCGAGGCAAATGCAGGTACTTATATTCTTCATCGATAAGGCTAATAATAATTCTAAACCAGAATCAAGTACTCGTTTCGTTTTTAAACGCATCCCATTGTACAACAGATAGATTTACAATAGCCGATAATATCATCTGTACTTTTCTCGTAGTGATTACGATGCATTTCTACTCTAATTTTATTCTCCGATATTTAAAACTGAATGCAGATTTAAGTGAAAATTTATTTAAATGCGCGTTGAATCTACTTTTTTTTCCCCGTCGAGACAAAATACATGAGAAACTAACTGGAGAAACGTTAATTGGACGGTTCTGCTATTTATTGATATTTTTAACCTTTAACCTATATCGGCGTTCAATCTTTTTATTGCATAAATTTATTCCATGCATATCTTGGGACTTTATTTAATCTTCTTGAAGAACATCTATTCCGGATAAAACAGGTCTATTTCGAATAACAGTGTCAGAGCGTTTGCACGCAAAATCAAAATCGTCGATGCAATAGAAACAATTAAACTGCCTGCTACAATAGTTCCGCGATCGATTCTGGATTAAACAAGCATTATTGTTTACCGAAGTACCATAGATGTCCAAACATGCAGCAAACAAATATTTGAATAAAAATTATAACTGCGATGAAATTTCAATAAAATGCTTTGTACAAGGGCTTCCCGTAAAATTCATTAGCATTAATGGAATTGTTGTTTCGTATAATTGCAAGTGGTTATTAATTTGCTATGTATTCAGTGCGTCATTCAATATGCAGTGAATGCGTAAATCGTTCAATACGTAATAGCGAAGAGAATCGCGTCAGAATCCAATTATATTCTTCCTGTCTTTTTTAACGACTGCCTTCTTTAGAATATATTATACTGTACAATATCATTATTATATTGTAGAATATAATAGGAATATTAAAAATGTATATCGAAATCATTTATGTAAGAAGGCAAACGAAGCAAATGAAAAGCGATTAGTTTCTATAACGTAGTTTAATTATATCATCGTTATAATTGGATTCTGTCTTGAGAGAATAATTTGATTCCCTCAAGTGAACTTTTAAATATATATGTACATTTGTTAGCACAGCTTTATAAAACATTCTCATATATTTTTTACGCCACCGATCGTCCAAGACATTTTGTAGTTTTGACACGAAAGCAAGTAAACGCGCGTAAACTTATTATAAATATTTAGCTCACAAGAATTTGCTAACATTTAGAGGGTATTAAAAATACGAAGAAAAAAACTTTTAACATCTCTTCTCGCTGTCAAAATACCTTGATTTCTCGCTGAAATTAGCTTTCTATGAGCTTTATTAAGCGAACGAAATAAGTTTTTAACTTAAAAGAGAGAGAGAGAGAGAGAGAGAGAGAGAGAGAGAGAGAGAGATTTTCTTTATATATATTGGAAATAAAAATAAATCCCGCAGCAACATAAAATGCAGGTCGTATCGGCTTTCTAATTTGGCGCAGCATCCAGCCGCTCG